TTATTTTTAAGAACTACGTTTTCATCTAAGCTTTCGATATCAACAAGTAATATTGTAAACAGATACAATATAAGTATTCTTAGTACACACTAGTCGCCCATGACACAGGGAATCCTAGTGTGAGGACTAAGACACCCTATAACGAAAATATTTTTGGTAAATAAAGAATTTGTATTTGTGATTTATTGTTGCAAACTTAACAAAGGTTTTCAACGCGAAAGTATTGCTCTGTCCTTTCTCTACATCCACCATAAATAATAGATAAGTAATAGAAAAAAATAGTCTAGACCCATCATAGACTGACGTGTGTTTGAATCACGCCTCTGTCACGTATTATGGCAGGGCCAGCTAGAAATACTAATATATGCGACTAATTTGTTATTATTCCAAATGTGTTGTATTAAACGAAAGTGGTACAGATATATTTACCGCGGCATTACTTATATTCACGGAAACTGTTCCTTATTTACAACGACTTGTATAATTTTACGACGTACATAATATTCCACGACAAGTAGTTTTACGATAGCATTGTTACATAATGCCTATCAAAGTGATTTGTTCATTTTAAAGATAAAATTTATGTAAATTGACGCGTAGTTGTCTTTTTAATGTGTAACGAATAAAAATATCAAGTTTTAACGACCCGAGTCAATATTTGAACTAGAATCGGTTTTTTATTCGTTATAAACACGCAAACCTTTCCACGCTTTACGAAAATAAACTTATCTTAAACTGAAGATAAAAACAAAGGTGGATTTTATTTATCTATTAACTAGTAGTTGACGTCAGCTATGAATCAACATTGTTCACAAAACGGTTATCGTTGAATAATTAATGATGCTTTTTATTTTGCGACAAAAAGTAAATGAGGTTGAGCTTCTGCGATCATAACTTATTTAGACCCACTGCCGTTCACTGCATTATAAGAATTAGTGCTCAGTTCATAACCCGGGAAAACAAAAAAGTCTTACATGCACTAGCGTCCATGGCTCCTCGGTCGCAAATGATCAGGCAGTTCCTCTGGCACGTCCTGCCCAACTCGAAGAAGGTGTTCTCGATTTGTATCATCGTCTTTAGGAGATTCTCTTGAAATTTGTTAGCTGCAACAAATGCGTGATTTTAGCCTTAGATGTTGAGATCCTCATTATATTAGGCAGGCGTTGAGACATTCTGCTACCGAATTATGATATCTAGATTCTAGACAATTGAAAAACCTTAGTTTTAGAACCGCAAAATGCAATTTTTCTCTGTCCTCAATATCGCACGCGTTAAAACATAAAAATATTAAATGTTAGGTATTATAAAATGCTTGATTTTATCAAATCAATAATTAATAAGCCAATTATGCTGGTACGAGTGTTTAATTATCTTTTAATGTAACAACGTTTATCTCTGCTAATTAAAAAGTACTCAAAAGTTACTGTTTCACCTATATGTTTATTATACTTTTCCACCAAGTTTTAATAAGCCTTGCGGGCAATTCTCCTTAGGAATACGTTAATTAGTGGTGTAAATATAAAAGAAGTGACACTTTGACGTACATCTTATATCACATTGAATGAATCGCCCCCTAGAATATAATGCATAATAAAACTGCAACGGGAAATTTAGCTACCAACATACCTATAAAAATAATATGCTATTGTTAATAATGGTGTGCATAAGTTATTATATCTTTACTACTTTTGAGATGGTTTTATGTAATTTCTGCGCGTCATTACGTTCGCATATACCTAAGTATAATATCTATCTATATATACATTATTCTCGTGACGGTATCACGCAGTAGGCGCGGCCATGATTGTCTTCGGGTTTTATTTTAGTCGCCTGCCAACGAACTTTGCAGACTTGACACATTCGTCGCATACTCAAACAGTCAAAGCGGAAAACTAGAGCGCGGAAAACTATTGACGTATCTCTTTGTAGGTATGAAGATAAAAAACGTTTGTTGGCCCGTGACCGAGGCCGTCACGCGAGCCAATACCTTTAACGTTGTAATGAAAATTTTTTGAGTGTCCTGTAACGATCCGCAGCTTTGACTTTTGATGAACGGTAAACGTGACGTACACAATCGTCCGTAACAATAGTCTGTACAATATTAACGTGTTTGAGTATGATTTATGAATCCAAATTTAATTTTATTTTCAATTTCATCCTGGACGTAAGCCAATCGCAAATAATCAAATATAATTAAAACTAAAAATTCGAAAAACAATATTTACTTGTCTTTTGTACTTTTACTCGTAAAAGCGATAGGTATAGTCTGTAATTCACGCGGGTAGTCCATATTTAAATAAAACATTTTAAACGGTTTAAAACGCGAAATATCTTAAGTGAGTTACTACGGATTTTACGATTGGCGATTGCTGCTGCTGCAAAGCATCCGAAACGACGAGCAGTAGTAAAGTTCAATTAAAAATAAGTAATATATTTCGGTTTAAGCCGTTAAAGGTGTTTCATTTAATTTAAAGGTAATAGTTTCATTACCATGAGAAAGAAACGTGTCCAATGCGAATGCAATACTAAATCATAAATTCTATGCGCAGGAGATAAGAACAGCCATGAACTTGATACATTACGTGGTCGCTCGAGCATATACTTAAACAATATACTTAGTACAACGATAAGTAATAGTATATACATACATCATATTACAACTTGTACCCTAGCTGTCGACTCAATGTTTGCGTAACGTGACAACACTCTTAAAGGCCCGCTAATATTTAATAATTCTACACACTATTGGATGTAAGAGGAAATACATAACGTTAATTGTAAGAGATAAGGAAAAGGGGATTCCCCATTAAAAAAACCGACAACATTCGAAAAAGTGGAATAGAATAGTTCATGACAGAGTGGAAAAGATCTGGAAAGGAGCGGTCTTTGTTGTCTGAAAAAAACACAGCAAGACACAATATATGCTATAAATTACTTAATGTTTCTCCAATATCCTTGATACGATAAAATACTGTTTTATTTACTAACTAGCTGTGCCCGCGACTCCGTCCAACTTGAATAAGGCCTTCCTCGATAAATAGTCCTACTATCAATTTAAAGCAGTCCTGAGATTAGCGAGTTAAAACAAACCAACTATTCAGCTTTATAATATTTGTATACAGTTGAATCGTAGACTCCGCCTATATTGACCAACCGTTTATTATGACGTCATTACGCTACGAAGTTTGGTTTTCATATAAAATCTATATAAAAAAGTCAGATATAATGACTTCCCTTACAATGATATCTCGTTTATTATGACCATTTTCAATAAATTTTGTCCGGTTATAATGACCGACATTCGGTTCGAAGAAGAAGTCGAGGAAGAACGATTACCTACCGTAGAAGAGGCATTAAACGTTGCAGAATTATTATCACGATTTGTTCATAGCAATATTTAAAACGATAATTTGACCATAGCGATGGCTTCTATACACAGTAATACAGACTGTTATTACAATAAAATAAAAAAAACAAAAGCCAACAATAATTTTAGGTTACTTACATTAAAAAGTACATTTGTATGGGTATAATTTACTTATTACGTGCAATTTTTGTTTTCATTTAATATGTATATACGTATATATGTATGTTTACATATGTAGTTACTATGTTACTCTATTAAAATACATACATATTTACATTTTTATTTTTTTTTACAAAACGCATTGTATGACGTCCGCTTAATATGACGTGTTTGCCAGTCTTTTCGATGTCATTATAAACGAATGCAACTGTAATTTTGACTTGTAGCTTTGAAAAATTTGTTGTCATATGATTCAAATAATATCTTTCTACTTCTGTTGGTAAATAGAAAAACATGATAAATTTACATCATTCCTTGCATTTTTAAATTTATCAGATAGCTCTATCTTATTTTGATGATAAGTCGAGTACCTACAATACAAACAGACGTAAGCATGATGCACATGCGATAACGAGACAGACAATGTGTATAAAAACATCTTTAATAGAAGCGATATTAACTGTTAGCCAAATAATTAAGCGCTCATATAGCTAAATGGTTAAACCGGTCTAGGTTCGATTCCCGGAGATACAATAAATTGTTTCGAATGGGCAGGGCACAGGTATATCAACAACTTGCGTGTAAATAATAACAATCAGTGAAACGGACACAGGAATGTGTTCACCCCATGCCCCACGGGAGAATCCCGGGATTTCACAGAATGGAATCGAAACGGGGATTTACGTTGAAACATTTGTGAACCGTGACTTTTGACGCGTGCAGTATTTTTTATATTCGAAACATTCACAATTCCACAATGTTATACTTTGATTTTTAGAAATTCATTGGAGGCGGTAGAACCGAATACACGACCCGCTGATTGTTAGCCATTTTGCTATCACTCGGTGAACGAGGTCGTCAGAACCTACAGGTATACAAGCTAGTTTCAGAATTTCGTAACAAACGTTAATAAAACGACAATTTACATCCTAATAACCTAAAAAGACAGAAGGAATTAATTTTCATATCCTGTCGTTTCCGCATGAAACCTACGTCTTTCGTCGTATTTATCTTCCAATTGTTCAACCTTGTACATTGTATATACAATTTGTATTAACGTAATCTTTTATCTCAAGAATTTAGCAAATTATAAGAACAAAGGAGATATCTATTCTTTGTCGTATTTTAACTTCCAATTAAAGAAAACAAATTTTCAAAGCCAACAATTTGGCAGCTTATTGAAACACTTGTACCCAACTGACGTGATAATATATAGTAGCTAAATTTGTTATTATAACGTAACAAACATAATTTGGCAGGCAGTTCTGAAGCCAGGGGTTTTTTCCCTTGTCCCCCTAATAACTCGTTTATAATGTATTCCCAACCTTGATTTTCCACTTAATAAAGGATTTCTAACAAATTTACATTGATTTACACTGAAAACACTTTGAGACACTGGATTATATATTAAACTAATGGACTACCTTAAATTCACTTCATAAAAACGTAAATTTTAACATAAAAGTAATTACAATCCTAAAAACGAATGTACGTAAATGCACACAGATTAAAATTTCTTTAGTTTGACATTTCATAAGGTTGGGAGGATGTAACAAAAGGACAATAAAAGGTAGACTCATACACGATCGCTGAAATGCGTTACAAACGTCGAGCTAAACAATAAATAAACTATAATTATTAATGAATATAGAGTTCGTTTGGTCCATATATAATGGACATTTCTTTAACCCAATGTCATCTGTGGCAATGAATATTAGAGAGCATCGCTAAATCGCTTTAGTTTGAAATCGACCATATTTCTCGTGATCTTTTGCCAAGTTAGAAAAAATACAATATACCAATGGTGGTTAAAGTCGACGTTAATCTTCTATCGCTTGTTTAAGAATTGACCCCTGCATGTGTAGCAATCAAATCGTCTAGCTGTTATCGTGGCAATAATTAAAAACGATTAATAGCATGACTATTATACATACGTTAAAGGACAGTAATGATTGTTTTACGAATGATTAGCCTATTTTACTTAATAACAAAGCCGTAATGGTTTTAAATTAAAAAAAAAACAACGATTTAAAACGCAAAATAAAGTAGTCTTATTTTAACGACAACCTGACGTTTCGGATGCTTTGTGGATTGATTATTTATGAAAGCATTGAAAAAGTCGGGTAGTAGTTAAAATAAACTAAAATTTAGCTGATTTAGCGTTTTAAAACGTTGAAAGTGTTTTATTTCAATATGTACTACTCCCGTATGCTAGACTTGACACCTAATTTAAATAAAACACTAACGGTTTAAAAGCATATATTAGTTAAATTATTTGAAAATGATTTTTAATTCGGCAGTTTCGGATGCTTTGCAGCAGCCTGTCAGGGGAGACCTCCCGAACGGGCGAGCAGAACGCGGGTGAAGTTAAAAATCATTTTCAAATAAGTTTAACTAATATATCGCGTTTTAAACCGTTAAAGTGTTTTATTTAAATGTGTACTACTCGCGTAAACTATAGACGTATTTACCTAACAGATTTCTATGTCTGTCAGTTCTAATCTAGCGCTTCAACCACAGAATCGATTCATACTGATGACGTGATGACGAAAACGACATAATTAACAAAATTTATTCTGTAAATGATCATCAGATCTTATCATGTATTTTGGTCGTTGTCACCTTTGCTACTCGTGTATGATCGTGTACGTACGGGTTTTGATAGCCAGAATGAAACAAAAGCCTGCTGCGGCAACGACTCACCACAGTCGCTTCGGTTGGCGAGAGCAACGGCTGCTGCAACACATCGTTTGCAATCCTTACGGCACTTATCGCCCGTAACATTAAGCTGAGTTTCTGCTACAATACCATTATCAATGAGAAACCGGTGTGGTTTTACATCTTGGCGAGTTTAGTGAACAATTAGTTGATAGAGAAGGATATATAATGGGGGGCATGGGGTTCCCTCGATGGACAATGGAATACCCCAGCCGTATCATCAAGTCATCAAGATTCACTGTCGACCTATTTTGCCTTTGGATATTCGGAAATCTAGACTGAAACCGAAACACGATCAAACTTCACGGCTTTTGCATCTGCGGACGGTGGTTCGTGACGCGAGCGGAATTTCGCTTTTCCTACAAAATATGAAAAAAAAAATTGTCAAAAAACATGTTGGACCCGGTGGGAATCGAACCGACGACTTATTATTAGCCATACATTGCCTCCATTAGACCAACGAGCTCTTCCACTGTTGCTTCACCGCGATTTGAGCTTTGGACGTCTTCAGCTAAAGCTAAGGTTCTACCGAGACGGCGGTTAGAATAAACATCCACGAAATTCCATTATCTTTCAAGATTTCTAAATATAACGCAAAGGAGCGCAAGGCCGCCATAGTTCGATTTGTTTAGCCGCGGCCATTACGTGAGTTGGCATTAGAAATCAACATAAAAAGTAATAATATCGCGGTCAATATTTGATCAAGTGCATTCAGCCACGCTGGCGTATCTATGCCAATGTTACCGAACCATTTAATGTACTTCATAACCTATAATAAAAAGCGCTGGAAAGTGATAAAAAAATCCCGCCTCGTTTATATAATTTAACATTTCTAACACTTTGAACGAGTCATTACCTCGGTGAGCAATATAAGCAGTCGATTCCGGTTACGATCACTAACTTAATAGCGGAAGTTGATAAAGCCCGCCAAATCTAAACAGAACACTTGGTCTTCTAAACTTCCGAGATCTGTGCCCAGACAATAATTAATGGAACAAAATATTATTCAATAGGAATCACGTTTTTTCCTCACAATTGTTCATAAACAATCAAAGACGTGAGTGCAACTTTGAATAGTGGTAGTAATATCGAAATTGCATCCGGGTCATGGACCACAGTCCACAAATGAAAAAGGCGTGAAGTTTAATCGCGTTTCGGTTTAGATGTTATATGGCTGTGGTATTTCAACTAACATCAGCTTGTTTGTCCTCCTCTATATTGACAAAATATACTAAAAACAATTGACGAAGCCGAGCTATAACCGAAGTGCAGGCGATAATATCAAGATGCAATCAGTTCATTCGAGTATCATTTAAACAATAAATTGAACGAAAATGATTTCGCCTCGTTGACCAATAGAGCGTATAAATAAATCAATTACAACAATGAATTCGTAAGTGTTTAGAAACGCATTCGGTGGTCAAGTTGCCAGATTCCGGGTAACCAATAAACATTAAGCTAATGCCGTATAAATTTCCCACTTAAAATAATGAGGCTGCTAGAGCCAGAGTGGCCTAAGACAAAAAAAAATGTTTTGAATAAGCAAATTAGGCGAAAATTAATTTGTACTATTATTTGTGTACGAAATATGTTAACAATTTTCGGTCACTGCGCTCTACAAGAACTTAACATTTTTAGACTATTAAAATATACACAGTCATTAAATTGCAGTTAGGCTACTCTGGCTCTAGCGGCCTCGTATGATGTAAAGAGTACACGGGTTCGTTAACATGAGATTATGTGAAGCCAATTAAGTGAAAAAATTTTAAGCTGTTGTTTTTTTAGTTGCTATAAAATTTATGGGACTGTTAGCTAAAACTATAATTAAAAAAAAACACAACGCGTATGGTAACTATATCCCCCGAATGAAACCTCATTATAAGCAAGAACTATTTCAGTACTAAGCCTCGCCGGCGATCGCCATTTTCAAACAATCGCAGTTACCGCGCAGATCAGAAATAGTGAACACGTGACCGGCGATAAACTTGATCAGTTTGGACTACGGCAGCTTCAGCTGAAAGCTTTTACTAAAATAAACGTCACACGTGATCCAGCGTCCGGGGCGAAGACGTCACGAGGACAAACGTCTTCTTTAGACCGAACAATTTTAATTAGCACTTGAAACTTTTACAAGTTTCGTACAGTATTGCCTCTTATTCTTTAACGATAAGACAGGCGCATCACCAAATAGGAGGTGAAACGTCCAATAAAGAATGTAAGGAGTTTTTCCTGTGGGGATAGTTTGTAAGCTGGTCAAAGTTTATCGTTTTTAGACATTTTCTAGACGTTGGGTCCTATAATGTTTAAAAGAAACAAAAAGTGATTTACTAAACTCGTAGACATATAATTTATTGAATCAAAGGAAAATATTAAGATTTTTTCTCTAGGATACATATTTTGTTATTCAAGCAATCATTTTTGCTTTAACGAGCCTAAGAAATAGATTCATTGCTCTGATTTTTAATTCTTGGTACCAAGACTATTTTGCAATTATTAATAATAATTAGTCAGCGTATATTCTAAAACGTCATCAGTAATGTCGTGTGGCATCGTTTATAAGAAGTGATGACACAACGTACTACGTTGATTTACGATGTCAATTAATAAGTAGATTACCAGTAATTTGCATGAAGCCCTTCTCCAAAGCCTTTTAAAAGCTAAATTCTTATTTCGTTAGTTAAATTTAAAAGTTGCTACGACGCAATGGCTTGTTTAAGCATTAGGGTTTAAAGTGCTTTAAAAAAATTCGTTTTCGTTTGCAACAACTATATTCCTGAAGATGTGAATTGTAAAACAATGGAACTTTTTGATAAATAATTACAACTTATTCCTATATATAAAATACCTAAAAAAAACGTACGCGATAACGTAATAATTAAAGGTATATACAAGTCTAATTAGTGTTGATATAATCGCGACTAGGACAAATAATTTAGAATAAGTGATTGGCACACGCAACGCTATTCCTAACCTTCCTAACCTATTAATTTGACATTACAATTATACACTTGGAGATAATCCAAATTGAATCGGAACTATCTTTTTGTTTCGGAAGGATATAAGGGCTCTGTCAAGTGGTGTCAAACACAAGGTGATGTTGAGATTGAATCAGGTCATTCAGCCCAACCTTTGACATTCGACGTTTCAGGTTGAAGGTCGCCGTACGAGACACTAACGAAAAGTAAATGGGACTGAAGATAACAATGAACCATATGCATTTAGGATAGACTCGTCTTCTGTTTTGTTTGGATAACTTGTATGGTATTTATAGATATTATTATAATGAACTTTTATACAAAATATATGAAACATATTATATTTTTTGGTAATGTATATAGAAATTGCAATTTATTATTATTTATAATGGGGACACCAAAAGGAGGCTGGTTGATCAAACCACATTATATTTTACAGTTCAACTTTTCTAATGGAGTTTTCAACTTTGGGTTATCCATTTCTCACTGTGTCCCCTTCAAACCTTCCAGTATTGCAGTCATTACTAGCAGGTGTTGTTAAATTTTAAAAGCTAGCTGACTTTTTCTCTTTTGCTCTTTATTTGACTGATTGATTTTATTTACAGTTGTTATTTCCCTGCTATTGGAACCCAGAAACCCTACGCAATTGAGCCTTGATGCGGACATATAGTATATTTTTGAATAAATAATATAAAAAAAGAGTAACTGGAACGTTTAATGTATATGTGGTGGCTAGTCACGGAACTCACGCAAAGTTTAATTTGTGCATATAATATGTACTTTTTTTAGGATACAGAAAATTTTAAAAATGTTAAGATATAAAAATAAATAAATAAAATGAAATAATGTATAGATATTAAATACATCTACCAGTTTTTTATTAAAAACAAACTCACCTTCCTCTGGACTGAGATCCACAAACTTCACACCACCACTGCAAAAGAAAAAAACCGTTACCAATTTGACTAGCTAAAGAACGAAAAAAAACTCAATCATTATTATATAACTATATAATGAACAAAATATGGCATATAAAAGGAGTTTTTAACACAAAGTATTTTTTTAACCTTTTACTTAATAAAAAATATACTTCTAAATATTTTTTATTAAAAGACTTAACAGAACTTGTTTATTTACTTTATCAGTAATTGTCAAGAAAAACTAGAGGATAAAGACTAGTTAACAGATTTATAAAATAGGTAAAGTTCATATCTGTGCAACGTGCACCAAATCCATGTTGATGGCATTTCATACCTTAAGAGGACGGTAGCCGTTTCCGGCACCCGGAACACCTGGAAACAAAGACAATGTGGAACCATGTCTTATCGGATCTCCTTTCGGAGAAACCAAACCCACATATCAAATATCCCAAAAAACCAAGCAGATATAAATGTTAATGTTTAGGCTCTTGAAATTTTTATAATTTGTAGCAAGTTGAAAAGCATTACGTGTTTGCAATAACCTTTCCTTAAAAATAAAGCTAATACCGAGACGACAGTATTAATTGAATTAAACGTAACATGCCGCGTTAATAAATTTTAAGAAAAATCTAATAAAAATTACCTTCCATCCCAAGTTTTCGAAGAATGTACTAAGTCGAGATTGCCCGGTGGTTTTTCCGCCGCAAGGACCTATTAATTTGTTTAGGTTAACATCTCAAAACATTCGAATAGCTTATTGATCAAAAGCAGTGACAGTTCGCACGTGTTACGTTGTAAAATTTACAATTTATTTTAAATATTTCACTAAAGAAATTAAACGAAGATATTAATAAGTATAGGCAAATACGGAAAACATGTCATAATAATTAAACACATGTAAAATTAAACTTATAAGAAATATGACTTACCCCCGGTCAGCACCAGCTTGTATACAGTTTTCTGGGATTGATTCGCCATTTCGATATAGCTTAAAGATTACAATTACATACACTAAATTACACTAATCGGGTAGGGTGAAAATTAATTATCATAAAATTGGCGAATACAGTAGAGTGTGGAAAAGAGCCATCACAGTTTAAAACGCATCGCCCGATAGGCGTGCCGAGAAAAGAAGGAATAAATAAATCTAGGTTGATGGCTTCAAACCAAAGCTTCCAATGACCTGTCAATGTCAAGTAAATAACACCTTCACAATTTACATCTTGGCAATAGATTAGTAATGAATTAATGAATTTTATGATGTACTGACGTCAATTTTCGTCTGTGTCAGTCCAAAAGCATAGTCCACGGTTTGCAATTGAGTATTAAAAAAGGAACTATAACCTCAAATTCTATAAGCTAACATATTTATTTTGAATTTTGTAGTAATATTTAATGAAGATAATCAAATTACGACATCAAATCTACTATCGTTAAACTCTTCATATGAGCTCGATTTTGATCAGGTATGTCATGTTCTTTTATAATATTGCACTCAACAATAATTATAGAAATGACAGAAATACATGTTTTTAACAGGTAAATGTTTCAATAAGTGTGAATTATTGAAATTATGCTTACGAAATATTATATAATGTATACCCTGAAGAATCCTTATTAAATACAGAGGCGTGGCTTGTGTACCAACCGATCTCTGAGTTTTATTTGCCCCTGACTGTTCTTGTTTATATTTTCAAACATCATTATGTAACTCCTTTAGTATTTTTAAAATTCCAGAATTAGTACCGAAAACCTTTTAAGAGAATTTTCATTTCCAGAATGTTGACTTAATCACTTTTGGATCCTATAATGACATACCTAAAGCTTATTTGTTGCACTGTATGTTTTAAAAATGGTCTACATAGCTTATCAACCAAGTCAGTGCTGTTAAAAATTTCCGTAAGTGGCACTTCATTATTACCTTTACTTATTTTTATGAGAAAAGCTTAAGTACTTGATCAAGATTTCATTTTGTCTTGCTGTATCTTGAAGTCACCAGTATATTTACTAATTAATTCACAGAATGCACAATACAAACAACACTTAGCAAAGATATCAACTTCTCATTTCTACAATAGCAACCTACCATTGACAAGTCAAAGTCAGAGTGTGGTAGCAAAGAAAAAACCTAAAAATGTCCCCCAAGACACTAGAGTATGGAAGGAGACACCGACTCATGATATTAAAAATAATTTAGTTCAATATTGTATGATGCTTTCAAAGTTTCGATTGACATGTAAGTTATTTTCTAAATTAAACTTTATATTTCAACCAATTAATGTCCCACTAATGGGCTGGGATCCCTCATCAGCAGGTGTTTAATGCAATAACAAAAAAATTAAAGCAATTTGTCTAAAGTACACCTTAATAACATGTACTTTTTATTTTTAGCACTAGTTGTAATGACATCTATGGCTGGCTATGCCCTAGCACCTGCACCATTTGACTTTTCAACATTTGCATTGTGTGCAGTAGGGACTGGACTCGTGAGTTCTGCGGCTAACTCTATTAATCAGTACCATGAAGTACCTTTTGATGCTCAGATGTCTCGGACTAAAAATAGAGTGCTTGTCAAAGGTTTATTAGAGTAAGTATCTCATTTACTTATTTCAAGACCACTGCTTTAACTAAAATCTTATGATTAGGTATTATTTTATTATCTTTTAATGTCACTAACCAATCTGTTTAGTGAAACAGATCCTGGCTTTGATCTAAAGGGTAAAAATAAAATGCTTCTGTCGGGCAGGGCAATCTATCAGTGTGAGTGCCTATTTCTGTAAACTAATTCAATCAGGGAGACAAATACAAAAATTGGCTTCCCTGTACCCAAAAAGGGGAACACTTCAACTTAGATGTGGCCTTAAAAAAATGTTTCTTATTTGCATAATCAAATTGGAATTAATTACACTATTTCCAACAGACCACTACATGCAATAGGATTTGCTGCTGCAACAAGTGTGACAGGACTAAGCATACTTTATTTTGGAGTCAATCCTTTAACTGCTGCTTTGGGAGCTACAAACTTGGTGCTTTACACCTCTATTTATACACCAATGAAAAGAATGTCTATATTGAACACCTGGCTAGGATCTGTGGGTAAGTTTGTAAAATATTTTCACTTTAAAGACACTTGTAGCATGTAGTTATTTTTTATGTCGTACATATGAACTTTATTTGTTCATTATTCGGGATAAGGGAATTCCCTCCCTCATTAGTTGATACAACCATCACTCCTATTGATCTTATAATATATATTATATACTAGATCACAATGTTGTTGTATGTTGTATCTTTTGCGTTTTTACGTCATTTATATAAATACAAGATGGTTATTTTTATGTTTCATCAGTATCACAGAATGTTATATTATTCCAGTTGGTGCTATACCTCCTCTTATGGGTTGGGTAGGATGCACAGGCTCATTTGACATGGGGGCACTAGTTTTGGGTGTAATATTATACTCCTGGCAATTTCCCCATTTCAATGCACTCTCGTGGAACCTACGACCGGACTACTCACGCGCTGGATATCGAATGATGGCAGTGACTGATCCAGGTTAGTGAAAGATAAAAAATGTCATTAATTTCTGGAACCATTAAAACTCATGATACAATAGTGGTATGGATGTGCATGATAATGAAAATAATTTTATTCCAGCTCTATGTAGAAGAGTGGCTTTAAGGCACACAGGAGTTATAACAGCAACGTGTCTTGCAGCACCATATCTTGGAGTCACTAATATTTGGTTTGCGGCTGAATCATTACCATTAAATATTTATTTTGCGTACTTAGGTAAGACAGCAATCTCATACAAACTTACATTTATTTAATTATCTACCTAAATTTACCAAACTCATTAAATATCTTTTGCAGCATGGCAGTTTTACCAGAAGTCGGACAGTGGCAGTTCAAGAAAACTGTTCAGATTTTCATTACTCCATCTACCTGCTCTTATGTTACTTATGCTTGTTAATAAGAAATATTGGAGTTCTACTGATACTCAAGAAAATGAGATCAAAATGTCTGATATAAAAGTGACAGATTCAAAGCGTATTACAGTCCTACCGAGAGGCCCCGTTGTCGCTGCGCAGGAGTCCGACAGTGAAGGGAATAAATGTTAATTTACTAAAGAAGTAGTTAATATATCCAGTGTTTTTTATTCTTTTAACAGAGCTATTTTTCTATAGTTATCATACTCCAGGCTGTGTAATTAAGATCTTTAACTAGATCCACTTTCATTTATGGTGCTCGCACATTTGTCAGGATCGAACACACGCGTTATGTTAACTGACATTTGCGGTTACCTTTAGAGGTTTAGCAATATAAGCTCGATTGTTGTTACCATTAGCTAATCTTATTATTAAAGCACCTTGTAATTCTATGAAAGGTAGGAAATCTGAGCTCCTTGATTTGCCATATAAACTTTATTGATGTACATTTAAAAAAAACACTGGCATTTTTATGTAAATAATGTAAATTATTTTAATTTTGTTATTTTATTTATAAAGCTTGTGTAAGATAGTAAATGGATTTTTGAGATTGTTACTCAATTAAGTCATATTTTTGATGTCGTTGATACATTGGTAGTTCCTTTAATTTATCAATAATTAGTAAAGCAGAATAAATACACGAATTATTACAAAAAACTTATCTTTTATTTGCTGGTAAAACTAAACTTACAGATGGAATTACAATAATCTTAATACATACATACAAAACATTTAGACAGAGATTTGAACAACTAACAGACGGACTGTGGTTTGGTGGAAAACTTAAAACCCGGATAAAACGGTCCTCACACATACTAAACCATTGCAGGCAACGGCTCAATTTCTTATTTCCTGTTGACAAATAAAAAACCTTAGAATTTATGTAGATTGATTCATATATAACGGTTATGTTGTCCTATCCCATATTATCTGGTCTGGAGTGGACGCGACCAGTACATATAAAAAATAAAACTTTTAACGGTTTAAAACGCGGAATACAGCAGTTAACCCCTCCAGTCAGCATGACTGCTGTAAAGCATTCGAAACGACGAACGTTTAGCGTACTTAACGGTTAAGTGTTTTATTTGAATGGTCTTAAAAAAACAGCTTTTAGCATGTTCCCCGGGCTATAGATTATTTACAATATTAGTAAATAAATTTAATTTTTTACCATCAAAAGAACGACATGCTTATCTAACAGCTTATGAGAACTTTAACTATATCCTTACTTTGCTTTCTTAGGACTCCGGCCATGCTCTCTACTGTCATCGCGCGACCGCTTGTGCGATTTGTGATCGCGATCACTGGAGTGTTTCTTGTGGTCGCCATTTGACTTGCTGTGCTTGTCGCGGTCACTGTGCGACGACTTGTGCCCACGATCGCTTGAGTGCGATGACTTGTGATTTTTGTCGCGGTTTTTCGAGGGGCTGAAAGGAAATAATAGTGTCAAAGAGAAATACTGTCTGTAGTTTAATCGCGTAAACTAAAAAACTAGTTAAAGTTGAATAAAAACATTAGTAACGGATTAAAACGCGAAATGTATAAGTTCGCATTTAGTTAAATTTATTTACAAACGTGAACACAGCTGCCACAAAGCATGCGGAATGTCGGGCCATAGTTAAAATATCTTGTAAATTAGATTAACTAATACATTTCGCATTTTAAACCGTTAAAAGTTTATAAGAATAATTGTTTTTTTTTATATGCCTAAATCGGCATGATTCAAACCGGAGTTCATAGGGCTAAAACCATGGACTAACTCTCTTACCTGTAAAATTTCAAACTCAATTCAAATTTCAATGTACATAATTTATACCAATTATATTTGGTTTAAAAATCCCACCTGCTGCTACTATGTTTAGATGGACTCTTGTGGTTCGAACTGGAACTCTTGTGATTGGAGCTGGAACTCTTATGTTTGTCGTGTTTACTCTTCTTGCCGTCGTCTGCAAAACGTGGATGATCCCGGCCTCCTTTCCTTTTCCGCTCGTATTCGTCGCCCCTGTCGAAGGTGCGCTCCTTTTTGTCTTCTTCAGCCGCTTCTCGTTCGAGATCCGACCAATCCTTTCCCGACTCTTCGTCCTCTTCTAAAATTAAAATAGTTTTTTTTTACTTTAATCAACTAGATCGGTTACTTTATGTCAGGATCTTGTCCACCTACATAACTACTGTTTGACTAAACAAATTTCTCAAATAAGCAAAGACTTAAAGGTGAACTTGTACTTTGTTTAATACCTTCACTATCACCAGACGCGTCAGATGCGTCCGACGCTTCCGAGTCATACTCAGAATCGTCTTCAGACTCTTCTTCGGACTCGGCGTCGGTTGGCTCGTAGGCGTCATCTTCTTCTTCTGATTCATCGTCCTAAAAGAGGGAAATCATAATTGGATCGTTTCGTACTCGACTTTACACATTTAACCTTGAAACGACCACATGCCACAGAATTACCCCACTTTCCCCAATCTCCAATATACTTCGTCCCTACCCTACTACGTACGTACCCCTGACCAAAGGGTTGTCTTCAAATTTATTTCTGTACATAAGCCGAACACTGGTTACCTGATGTTCATTTTCTGCATCTGACTCCGGATCGAGGAAGGACCACCCACCATTGTCAAAGAAGCCCTCGATGTCATCTGTTATTGTTTTCATGACTTTCGTCCAATTCAAGGACTGAATACCTTCTGAATAACGAATGTCGCACGAACTAGAAAAGAGCCATAAATACATTATGTTTAAGTTATTTGATATATTCTATACTAGCTGTGTCAGCGACTTCGTCCGCGTGTAGTATTTTTTGTGTCGCGAAAATTTTTTTTAGATCTTTCAAAGAGGAATACTTCTTTCATATATATTTTGGGTATTTTCAACCGAAACCTGCCTTCGTACCGAAAAGAAAAATTAATGCTTTTAATAATACAAAAAGTTTTTTCTATTTAATCCAGTAGTTCCTAAGATGAACGCGTTCAAACAAACAAACTCTTCAGCTTTGTAATATTAGTAGGATAGAATAGATTAGAATACAATCTATATTCGTAAATGTAAAAGTGGTCCTAGCTGATACTCACTTAAGCCATTCCTTAACATGATCCAGCATGTTCATAGGCACAGCGTTCAGCATGGCGACCTTCTTGGCATAGTCTTTGAAGACGAAAACCATATCGAAGTTCTTCAAGTGGAATTGGACTCGCTCAAAATGAACTAATTCCACATCTTCGAGAGCGATGACAAACGGTGGCCACTCAGTCAGGTTAACTAACGCACCAGATGTCGGTTGCAAGAGGACTGTACTACGGAACGGTGCACCGGGGAACCCTAGCTCTCTGTAAACAAATATTTTTGTAATATTCAAGATATTAATACAAAAAGTTATGTTATAAGATGGTTACAACTTCCAAAACTTTTCCTGAGCACGTATTCACAAACTGTTGAAAAGGTTCAAAATCAATCATTTAAGACAAACATACATGCTTTGTGTGGGTGCGTGCAATGAACAGAAATTGAAGAAAGGGGATAAATAAAAGAAATTTTTTGTCTGTCTGTACGTATAACATACAAGCTAATATCCAAAAGGCATGTAAAAGAACCTCATTTTATTACTTGTCTGGTTAGTGTATAAAAATAAATGCGTAAACCAATATTATTTTTAAAAGGTATTACGTTACAAAAGCGTTTTAAACCATTATTGTTTTATTCAATGTGTCCCGTTAGCATACACTACAGACAAAACATGTTTCCTGTAAATCAAACTCAATACCTCCAAGCCCGAAAGTTCTTGCCATACAATGATTACCTGAATGGCGTGTCGAACTCAACCTCCTGCTTGGTCATATTCTCAACTCGTTCGCAGAAGCTCTTGAACGCGACTTTCAGCTTGTGCCTCAGCTCTCGTTCGCTCTGCTCAGCGGCGAGGTCGTCCCTGTCGTGCATATGCTGGTGTTTGCCAAGATCCGTCGTGATCTCACCCACTTCCGTATAGAATTGGACGTCCACGTGTTTCTTTTTACCTGAGTAATGAGAATTAATAATTGTATTATATACTCGAGTAGCACACATTTAATAAAATATTTAACTTAAAACGCGATATATTTTAGTTAACTTGGGGAAGCCTCTCCGTGACCACGGATGCTTTTCAGCCGCTGACTTAAGATGGACGATGTCTGTGAGAGAAAACTGCTGCGCCATCTGTTCCGTCGAAGTAGGTATTTGGCGAAACTAGCCGGGTCCTTGAACAATTGACTAACGGTGTCTTAACATTTGCCAGTATGCTGTTTTTTTTTTAAATTCAGAGTTCAAATACATTTAACTAACTAATATATTTCGCGTTTTAGACCGTTAAAGTGTTTAAATAACGATATTATATTCAAGAATAATTATAATATAGGTGAGAATTTTTGACACCTGATAATGTCTCTTCTATTTTGCCCTCTCATTCTATAGTAACACACAAGTATATTATCTCAATATTGCGCAATAAAAATGCTATATGTTTTCTCTGTTTATTCACCATTGATATATCACAAATAAAACTAGGTCCATATGACTTTTCAAAGCAACTTCCACTAAACAGTATTTTTATTTCGCTGTGTTTAATTAATAAGTACTTACCAAACATAATAGCGTGCTTCAAATGGAAATGCAGTAATATAATCATTTCACCATCACAAGGCTGGAAGAATGCGTTCTTAATATTATTGTAGAGTATATCGACTTTATCTCCTCTCACGGACGTGAACCGGAAACCGTTGGCGTGCGCTTCTAAAGAACCACTCATTCTCTTCGTAACAATATTAGGTCGGATGTACAGATCTTTCAACTTAGGATTCCCTTTGCTCTGCGAGAGAACCAGTGTGTCTTGCTTAACTAGATCTTCTTTTTCCCTCTCCTCTGCTTCTCTTGTTTTGAATTTCTTTTGAACTTCCTTTATGAGCCGGAAGCCAGTGTTTAGATTCGACGATGGGGGGGATATCTCGCCTGGCTCTTTTGTGTTTGTACTTCGGTATGTCCTAAAAGATAAACGAGTTTGTGAAGGTTGGAACTGAATATGTAGTGTTAGTAGATTTAAAGTCTCACTCACACTTCTTTTACGAAGGTGGCATCTGGTTGTGCATAGTTCCCTCCCTCGTTCCTACCCATAGTGGCTCCGGGGTGAAAGAAATTTATTCTCAAATAAGTATAATCACCCTCAACCGACTGTGAAATATTCTTTATTGTCGAAATGTGGAATGGTACTGGAATGCCGAATATCGGCAAAATTACTGTTTCGTATTTCCGATCTGTAAAGAAATGAATTAATAGCAAAAGTATATTTAATATTGCTGTTATATAGTAATATTAGTATGATTAAAGCTTATTTGGTTTTGGTATCCATTTGCGCAACATCTCTTGATATACCATATACGCGTAACGACAAAACGTCGCACCTCAATTACGACGGCCGTATCCTAAGGTTTCCGAAATGTCCAAGAGAGTCTTATTAAATTAATGTCTAGAATATGATTACTTTATATAAGCTGTACAAAAGTAAATCTTTATATTTCTTAACATTATTATGCTATACTTACCAACATAAAGTTTTAACTCTTTCACTTCGTTCTCCCTTGGCATCTGGCTTATACTCTTGTAGGATACAGTACTCTTCCTTATCTTCTCTCCCTCTTTCCCGCTCGACTGTTTTGCCAGTCGCTCCTTCGCCTTTTCATTTAGCGCTATCGCCAGTTCCCTCTGATGCTCTTTTCTTTTCTCTTCTGAGGAATGTTCTGTTCTCAACTTGGACTCGATGACTGCTGTTCTTTTGCCCCGTCCTAAAATAATTTACATTCTTAGCTTCTAATATAAATTAAGTACTTTGTAATAGCTTAAAAGCAAAGTAGAAGCATTTTCTAAGTAATTTAACTTAGTTTTATTTCCTAATATTAGCAATAGAATGCTTAAGATATAAAAAAAGAAGTAGGAATTATTTTATGTACCAATAACATGTAAAAATAATAAAAATATTTTAAAATAGGAATTATCAAGCTTCGGGACAAGCAATTGGAACATTAGATTGATGGACCAGATAGTTATTTATACCAACATAACTTAGACCATACAAATGATGTTTTGTATATAGCGTGCAAACTGTAAGATATAGAAGAATCTTTCAGTGAAAAGGCTCAATAAATAATCATGAATGATCTTTAACCCTATCCCTATCCCATCCATAATTTGCAAGGTTTAGTGCAAGGCATTTTTCATTAAGCTGTTTGAATAACTTTCAAATATATAAAAAAAACAAATCTTCAATGTAACGGACACTTAAAAAGGGAAAAAACTGTTTGATCTGTTCCATGGTTGATAAAAGTCTATCTATATATAGTATAGTTGATAAAAGAACTAGGGATTCTGGACATTTGATGCTAAGGCTGACTTGTTATACATACATGTGTTAGTGACCATACATTACATTTTTGCTGTATAAATGGGATATTTATTTTTTTAATAATAAGTCATAATTTAAGAACACATAAATTTTTAGGAGTGAAAATAGGTTTTTAGTGACCACATTTATAATTGTTAATATTTATTATTATGTTTAATTTAAAATATATTTTAAACAGTTAATAAGTTTATATATATAATTATAGTTGTATATAATCGACATTAGTATTATATATAGTAGTGTGTATAGTAATGCATGCTTGTATTTAGAAAACATGCAAATTAATTATTCAACTCACCTCCATTTTCTTTAGATCCACAATAGCATGTAAATAAATTGTATCAATATAGCACATTCCATTTTACGGCAACGTCAATTACATAAAAAAACACACAATATAATAAAAGTTCCTGAGCAAATGAGAGAATATTAATTTTGAACACCCTTTTGGGATGAGCCAAAAGATTTTTTAGTTATTTGTCGCTTACGCTGAGAGTAAGGACTTATTGAGTAATGAGAGAAATTTGATTAGTAAATACCAAAACATTTTACCCATTAATTGAATTATTATTTAAAGCCAATATTCCAAGATATGATGATAAGTGCGCGCACTTACACAGTAGTATCAATTATGAGACACCTGTGACACACGGACTTAAGTCTTTAAAAATTATTACCAATTCTATCATGATATTGAAGAGCATACCGAGTATTTCAGTCTTATTTTCCTTTTCTTCTTCTTCCTCTTCGTCGTCGTCCTTCAAGAAAATACCTATATTCTTGATTTTCTTCTTAGATTGAGTGAGGAGAGAAGCGGGCTGTTCCTCATTGACCAATACTGTGTCTCCAATGAACAAGGCATAAGTCTGAAACAGTTGGAAAAACATAATCAAATAGTCATTAAAATAAAATTGCTTACAAAACAAATATTCTATTCATATAAGTATACCTGATCAAGTATACCCACCTTTCCTTCTTTATCTGATGCTGTTTTGTTGCTAAGATTGGCTAAGCCAATGTTAATATTGAACACCATGCCTTTCTTTGCAACAATTGATGTTTTCGGACCAATCACTATTGAGCTCTCACGAAACTCTATACCCATAGCAAATCTAAAAAAAATAATAAAAGATTCTCTGATTTTCGAAAATCGTCGTAATTGAGAAATTGATCTCCACATGACGAAACGAAGATGATGATAATTATGTTATCCACTCATGAAAGTTCGTGTATTAGAATATAACAATGGCCGAGCTTTAAAGCCTTAAAGCTTTGCAAGAAGTTAATTACATTACTTTAATTTATAACATTTTAATTTCTCACAATGTAAAGATAAGAATAGCTATTAAAAATTTGCCCTGGACACACAATATCTGAACATAAACTGATATGCTCTATGGTATGATTTACCATTAGATAATTTTCAGTTAAGCATTCTTTGGACATACCCAAATGTTTTTGTCAAGTTATCAACAAGCTCCGGTTTTTCTTTCTTTGCTAGCGCCAGTCCAGCTTCATACACAGACGATAATTTGGCACCAGCAACTAAATGTTTCATAACTTCTTCTTCTAGATTCACAAGAAAATTGTAATTGCTCTGAATGTCATCCGTTGGGTTTACTAGCAATGTCCGAACTATGTTTGAACAGTACGACTTATATCTTGCACCTAGAGAACAAACAATTGCTCCGAAGTGCAAGTGGTTTTTGTCTGATATGGCACTAAATTTTAAACTATAATTGCCACCAGATTGTATTATAGGGGGGGTAACACATGTCAACTTGACTTGTATCTACACCTGTTACATATTTCTTATCAGAAATGGCTGCTTCTACACCTTCAGCTAATTTTGTATGTTTCACTTTCTAAAACAAGCAAAAAATAATTAAATAAAACCTTTGCCAGACCCAGTAGTCTAAGACAGATTAAACTTATTTAAGCAATTTAAATATTAAACTTCTAATTCATTAATTATTAACCTTATCTGAATCAATAATCTCCATAATTTGATCTTTTAGATATTTTGTAAATACATCAACAGTGACCAAACATGCTTTTTTAATAGTAATAACTTCAGGATCTTCTTTTGGTGCCATAAGTAGGGCAATAGATGAACTGACATCGATATTCTCAAATTTTTCAGATTTTATCACATTCTTCCAACTTTCACAGAACTCTCCTGGATAATTATCTTTTGCAAACACACCCAATGTCTTTCCTGATTTAGATTTTTTTATCTCTTGGATTAATTTATTGAAGTTTTCCTTATCTTTGTCATTCTAAAAAAAAAGTTTAAAGTTTGCATATGAAATTAGATACAGAACATAAATAGTTATAATATAATATATAAACATAAATAGAAACTAAAATAGTGAAATATTAACTCACCCTGTCCCTAATTAATAATTTTACTGGAGGTAGCTCTGTTTCTTCTTTGCCATTTTCTATTTGTCTGAGAAATTCTATTTTCTTTTTACTGGCTAAAAAACACATACTTTGCTCTGTGAGTACAGTAATTGTGTCAGGGAGTTCATAACCAAATAGCCATGTCTATAACAGAAAAAGATTTGCACAATTTTAACACATATACATGTATAGACTATAAAAAAATATTGTTAGTTTGTATTTTTACTAATAGAACTTGTAATAATACAGACTTCTTTAAGGATTTTCAGTTATGTTTTATAAAATTTTACATATAAATTAAATTAATTAAGATTTATTCCCTAAGTAATTATTAAAGATATACCTGTAATGCAGTCGATTTACTGTAAAGTGTATCCTCGTCGACTCCCACGCATGAAACAAGGCAATCTACCTTAGCTAAAGCATCATCACTTTTTGAGTCTGCTGCTGATGCCTGAAATTATAAGAAAATATGGTAAAACATGAAATTAATCTCATGAAATGCTTTATTGATACACACCTTCCATGCTGCATACAGTCTCTTCATACGCCGATAGAACGTTTCTTTATCTAGCGATATATTAGACATTGTGATAATTAATGTCGTGCATTAATAACTTATAGTGGAGTAGATAACTGCGCTTCAATACGAATAAATATGATTAACAATTCACGACATTGGAAATTATGCTTTTGATCAAAGTTTTGACAGCAAACAAGAATGATGGCGGGTGGATTGATGGGACTCACAGAGTACCGTTATTTTATAGATAATGCTTGGTTACACTCTGTGAAAGATTTAAATTGCATCACGTTTATCTGTACCTAATAAGGTCTGCTTTTCATTGCTAGTTTGTTGTTTGTTTATGTTTTTGTTTATTTTTTTCGTTGGTGTAATTAAAAAAAAAAACAATAATTATTAATTAACGACTAACGTTGCGGGACAAAAAGTACTACTAACTTACTTTTAATTCTTGATACTTATTTATTAAATGGTATAAGATAAATAAATTTAGTTGGCAAGCAATATTATGGAAAGTCTTCATTCGAATATAAACGCAAAGTTAACTACTAATAACATAAAAAAGTTGGCTAAAAATAGGATAACAACTATTAGAGATTTTCTTGAAGAAGACGTTGAAAGAGTAGCTAACATTCTTCAGTTAGGATTGCCATGCATTTTAGAAATAAGAAATAATATTTTTGAACACTATTCAGCTCCATTACTTTTAGGACCTTCCTTACTTGAAAATTATTCAACAAAACAAAAGTTTCTCAAAACAGGTATAATAAGGTAATGCTAACAGGACAGAAGTTCTACAAAATTAAAGTAGACAGTCTTATTTTAAGCATATTTCCATTTTTAGTATAGATACAATTTTGGATGGTGGATTGCCAATTGGATTTATAACAGAAATTTGTGGATTGGCTGGGTCAGGCAAAACTCAGCTATGTTTACAACTCTCAATTAATACTGTGAAATATTCTCAGAAAGTTGTTCTTTATATTGATACGAAAGGAGATTTTTCTGCTAATAGGATACAAGAAATAATAGAAGCTCAAGGATTGTCACATAGGGTAATGTTTCATTTGCTTAAATTTAATTATTAGAGATTACTTCTTGTACTTAGCTAAACCCTTTATCGATTGATGGCTAAGCATTTCATAAACTTCTTTCTCACAGGAAATGGCTATAATTATGTTAAAAATAAAAGTAGCTAATGTATTTTCTATGCCAGATTTGCTACATTTATTAGAGAAAATTAAAACCAAGGAAATAGTTCTTGATAATTTGTCTTTAATTATAATAGATTCATTACCAAGTTTAATGCTGCAACATTTTGGAGATAACAATAAAATTGGTAAGTTTAGAAACAACTATAACATATGTTATCAGGATAAATAAAGAGGAGAAAAATACAATGATTAACTTTACTTAAAAATTACATTGTTTCAAATGTAGTTATACATTAAATAAATAATAGCTTCTTCCTTTTTAAAATAGGAAGAATATTATATAAGCTTACGGACCTTTAAATTTACAGGTTTAACATTTTTAAATCAATTTGTTAATCTTTCCCGAGAAATAAGTAAAGAAATGGAATTGTGTGTTGTATGTGTTAATATAGAAACGCGATGGGTAGACATTGACCAAACTGATTTAGATGGTGAGAGAGATTGTAATATAACTTCTTTTTTTAATTCTCTCACAGTAGATTTTATTAAGCTTTTATTTTATTTTAGATGATTATAATACAAATTTAACAGTTCAAGAGCCTTCGTTTCTCGAGAAAAAAAATAGATGCTTAGGAAAATATTGGTGTAATATTCCAGTCTTAGTCCTAACACTTGAAAGGAGTTTGATTGATAAAGGCAAAGATAGTTCAAATATTACTGTATCACTGCAAAACTTCAACAATTTGAGCGACAACTCTAAGACCATATTTTTATCCATCAATATGCTAGGTGTGACCTGATTCAATACTGTTAATCTTTTAGTCACTTGTATAGTTTGCGTTAATGAAGTAATAGTAATTAAGTTTTTATAAATAAAATATTTTCCGAAACATGATTTTCTTTTTTCTATTATTTTGTATCTACTTTAATAACAAATCGTTCTTTTGTTTCGGTAAAAAGTAAAATAAATTAATCTATTAAGTCATATCTATAAGTTTTTAAGATGTTGATACTTCGTCGTAAATACATCTTATTTTTATTGATATACCTACTGGAATTTCAATAGCTCGAATCTCAAAAACGATATTTAGACTTATCGACAACTTACACTACTTTAACTACATATAATATAACTACTAAAAAGGCGCGAAGTATTGAGTAAAATGGGAATAACAGTTCAAGTTTAGGTATAGTACACAGTGGCGTAGCTATCGTAGGGCCCAGTGGTGCAGTGCACCAGGGCCCTGGACCTCAAGGGGCCCTTTGCCCTAATCATAATCTATAATTTTGAAGGGTATTAAAGTTCAAGTCACGTAGGGGGGAGATCTCGATTCTTTCTCTATGCGTCGGGGCCCTTGCCCATTTAGCTACACTACTGATAGTACATATTATAAACTTTTAACAAATTAAAAACTAATTCCGTTTTCAGTACCTGCATAAGAAGAGAATTTAAAAAAACATATCGTTCTTTTCATTTTAACAATTCGAGGAGAAATAGCTATAGAAAGTAGATTAATTAGAAGTAATCGTGGACAACTCGTTAAAGAGGATGTTTATTTATAGCACATATACACAAGAGAGTATAAAATATTTTAATCTAGTACGTATTAGAATTTGAATTTTACCATTTTACTATGTGTATTTTTGCATAATAACCCGTTTTAAAGGCAATTTACTAAACGGGCAGACAATCAATGGCGTAGCTAAATGGGCAAGAGCCCCGAGGGTGCATAAGGAAAGAACCGAGACCTCACCCCCTCTCTCTACTTGGCTTGAACTTTTATTCCCTTCAAAATTAAAGATAGGAATAATAATGGATAATAGGATACTGTGGAATAAGTTATCTCTATGACGGGGAGAGTCACTGTGTTTAGGATTAAATACGCAATAACGCACATGGCATAATAAAATATTTATTACCCAGATGAAACCAATAAATGAAAAAACAACGATTTTTACAGACTTTGCGGTCCAGTTCACAACCTCTTGCGCGCTTTAATTTTTGCGAATTCATCTATAACTACACTCAAATCCCAGTTTGATGCCGCCTTGTTTTCTATCGCAATTAACGCTAAATTTCGGATGCGATCTTGTCCTCTCCAGTACCCTGCGGGGAAAGGGGGGAGTGGCCAGACTTCCACCGGGCGCGTCCCCAGGGGGCGGATAGGAGAATGGTTGTCTTATAATGACGACTATCGGCAGTTAGGCTGCCGGCGCGGACCAAATCTGGTGGGTTTCCACGGGCGTACCCTAAACGCCCAGAAATGAAGCGTTCCATCGCTCGGGCGCTTTAAGATGGCAAAGGAAAGACGCGGAAGCGGCTTCGGCCGCTTAGGAGATCTTCGTCATTCGCCAGGGTGGGTCACGTAGTTAAGGCTCTGCTGATACCGTGGCTTAAAGTTTAGGTTAAAGGGCCAAGGGCCCTTCGAGGTCCAGGGCCCTGGTGCACTACACCACCGGGCCCTACGATAGCTACGCCACTGCGGACAATAAAATTAATAAAAAAAATATATTGTCCATGTATTTTCTATACTAGCTCGTAAAATAAGACTTTGGGCTTTCCTAGCCATATTATTAAAAAAAAAAATACTAGCTCGTATAGTCTGTGGGTAGTATTGATTATCAAGTAGATATGTTGCACATCTGCTCTATGGCATCTGGTTTTGTTTTTATTTTGATAAATCTACGAATATTATTCGAGATTTAAATACGGAAGTCTGCTGTGTCTGTGCTGTTGTCTTTTACTCTTTAGTTTTGTGCCTCCTTTAAAAATGTTTGGTTCCTTTTTTAAGATTTTAAGATTGTCTAAATTATGGTGAGCAATAAATTTCCACCGTGGTACGGCTAGTTTTTCCAAAAAATGGCTTCTAGAGGTGATAAAAGCAATGGGAACGGCGAGGAGCAAATTGTCGAGGTGGGTTTATCGATTTGTCCCACTTAGAAATAACAGTTATTTAAATTTTATTTTATTATCATAATGAAGCAATTATGATTATTACAGACCCTGGCGGAGGTGTTTCGATGTTTCATTTGTATGGAGAAGCTTGTAGATGCCCACCTCTGCCCTCATTGTTCCAAATTATGTTGTTACGCTTGCGTGCGAAGGTGGCTAACTGAACAAAGGTCTCAGTGTCCGCACTGCCGCGCTGCTCTTCATCTTCATGAACTAGTCAACTGCCGATGGGTGGAGGAAGTAACACAGCAAATTGAAACTATGCAACAGACCAACTCAGCAACTCAGAGAGAAAGCTACAGGGATAGGTAATCTTGCTAATACATTCATTCTAGTTAGATTCTGAACTTACTTTAGCTGCTGCATTAAAAAAATCATATGTTGAGGCTGTTCAAAGACTTCAGTAAGATTGTACTTGAGATTTATATAATGAAAGATTCTTTCTTAGAATTATTGTCTGGGACTTGTTAAAAGGTTTTACTAGTTATCAGGTTTGTTACACATTTTTTCCTCTAGGTAAATGGCTAAACATGTTGCATTAAGCAGAGCAGTTCCTGGGTTCAATTCCAAGGATATAATTGTTGGTTTCAGTGGGGCATGGACAAAAGTCTGATCCTATAAATCAAGCTAATCAGTGAAACAGACACAGAAATCCCTCATGCCCCATAGGGGAAACGGGATTTCACAGTATATTTTTAAAAATACTTGATGTCATAAATGACATCAAGTAATATTCTTTTAATTCTTTTAGATGTCCTTCCCACCAGGAGAAGCTAACTGTTTATTGTTGGACTTGTCGACGTTGTATTTGTCACCAATGTGCTCTTTGGGGAGGTACACACTCGGGCCATACTTTTAAACCCTTGGAGGAAGTTTATGAACAACATGTGACACAGATCAGAGACGAAGCTTCTCAACTGAGACGGAGGCTGATGGAACTGATCAGTCTTGTTCAGGATGTGGTAAGACATAATTGTTATTTTGTATTAGTTTTATGTAGTACTTTTTTAGGTGGTCTTACTGTATGTATCTATGAAGGTTTACTTTTTATTTATACATATAGGTAAATAGATACACTTATGAATGCCACATCAGTTTAATACTAAAGATTTATTTACATTTACTACCAGTTCTTATATCCAGGTCGTAAAACAAACAAGAAGAACTGACAAGAAACTCACTGCCACTCCTTTTATTGCCAAGTTTCATGCAAGCAAAGCACTAATTGCTTCATGAAAAATAAAGTATCACATCTCAAATATGTGTTTTATGTAGTTAGTAGAAAATGTTATACAACCAAACAGAAGAAACATTAAAAAGGGCAAAGATACCAGTTAATACTCTTAACCACTTTCTTCTTCCAGGAACGGAATGTGGAATCAGTCCGTGCAGCAAAGGACGAGCGAGTTCGAGAAATACGTAATGCTGTTGAGCTGATGATATCACGCTTAGATTCCGCGCTCAAGGCGAAGCTATTGACGCTGATGGGCCAAAAGAATAGCTTGACTCAAGAAACTGAACAGTTGGAGCATCTGTTGCAAGAGGTGGAACATCAGCTTCATTCTAGTACAAGGTAAGTTCTTGTTTCATGGAACTTACTATGTATTAAGTTTCTATTGTTGTAAAAAACCTGTGTTTTTTGCAACATATTAAATTGTGTTAAACTAACTGGCTAGCAACAAGCCACAGTTATTAAAACTAGAAAAAATTACCCATGGGTCAAAATTTTGCTATATTTAATTTTACTTTACAGATCTGAACTGATAGCGAAAAGTGGCGAACTGTCGAAAATGATCCACCAGGTGCGGAAAAAGCCAATGGCTAGTTTTGTTACTGCGCCAGTACCGGCCGATTTTCATAGGTAATTCTATTATATGTATTTATTCAAGAAACATAACAGAAATAACAAAATGACATAAATGTACAATGACATGTTAAAAATAATTTTCAAATAAGTTTAACTAATATATCGCGTTTTAAACCGTTAAAGTGTTTTATTTAAATAAATGTACATCTTAAAGAACGGTTCACCCACAAAATCTGTATAAAAGTATTTAAGCAAGTAATGATGGAACATTAAGTAATAAAAAGTAGCAATCAAGTTATGTCAAACTCAAACAAAAGTTAATTTTACGAAAATAAGTCCGCACTGTTAGAAATTGTGTTGGATTATTATGGTTATTATTAGTTACCACAGTCTCTATTATTTTCAGTGAAATCGTCCCGAGTTACGATAGCAGCACCTTCCCGCTAACGAAATTCACTCAACTGCAGCACGCGGCTGCCCCCGTCTATTCTGCTCCTCTGCACGTACACGGGCTCTGCTGGAGGTTGAAGGTGTACCCAGATGGAAACGGTGTAGTCAGGGGGAACTACCTCTCGGTGTTTTTGGAACTCAGCGCTGGTTTGCCGGAAACCTCAAAGTTAGTTATACTCAAATCTAGTTATGTATTGCTACGTTACTACTATGAAAGTTTAAATTATAAATATTAAGCTAGTTTCTCATGAACAACGCATGTTATGACAAATAACACTATTTTTAATTCACGCGTACGATATTAATAATTGTTTTCCATAAAGTGATGTAATGCTAGTATTTGATTGCAAGCCGTTCTCGACTCAGTGTAGGGAAAAGGTAAGTCGATTGAAGTATAATTACTGTTAGCTGCGTTTGTGGGCATGGCGCTCTTGTTGGAACTTGCAGAATTAGTGAAACTTGGAAAGCAAAGTGTTTTGTTTGCTTTTGTAAATAGGTTGGCTTTGATTAAAACTGCTTTAGCTGATCAAAATTAAATTTTTGATGTCGGTTCAAATCCTGCCCGTTTAAATCAAAATAGATTCGTATATTTGATTTTATTTGGGTGACTTTAAAACGTACGTTTACAGCAGTTTACTTCACGTATTCTCGCGTAATCAAGTTTTGCGTTTAAACAAGAAGTGAAGTCTTGTCGTATTTGCAAGTGAGTTAATCATACATTCTCTGTCTTACCGGATCGAGAAATTTCATTTGCATTTTTGCCGGAATTTTGAATCCAAGACCTCAACGTATTGATAGGCATTGCGTTACGTGTCAGATTGTACATTGAACTACGTGAAAACAATATAAAACGTATTCAAAGTATTAATACCAATTAGGATAATTATAGAGCCATCATGTCTTGTATTAATAATAAGTTGGGAGCTTCTGAATGTTTATAATCTATAGTATTTCGCTTCGCTTATGGTCTTCTACCAGATAGTTTTAATAACGCTACCTAGTTGTTCCTAGATTTATTTTTTAATATGTCGTTTATGGCATAACAAAGTATGTATCTATTAGAACGCCTTTAACGGTTTAAAACGCAAAATGTGTTTAACTTATTTACAATTTATTTCAGCTACATGACCACGGCTGCTGCAAAGCATCTGAAACTTTGGGCCGTAGTTGAAATAAAATTTTAATAAATTTCGCGTAACTACACATTTCGCGTTTTAACCCGTTTAAAGTGTTTGTTTTAAATTCTGTACTACTCTGTTATAACAAAGTAAACATATTTTTATAATTATAAAGAGATTTCAAATTTCTGTTCTCATGGCAGGTACGAATACCGCGTGGAAATGCTGCACCAAGTGTCCCGGGACCCGTCCAAGAACATAGTTCGCGAGTTCGCATCGGACTTCGAAGTGGGCGAGTGTTGGGGCTACAATCGCTTTTTCCGCCTCGACTTGTTGGCTAGCGAGGGCTACCTTAATCCAGAGACTGACTCCCTTATACTAAGGTACAAAGAACTTCTAACTTCGTATTCTCTTTTTGGAAAGGCTTTATTGTGAGGCCGCTAGAGGCAGAGTGGCCTAACTGCAATTTTATGACTTGAAATATTTTCATTTTCATACTAAAAATGTGAATTTACAAGACATCATTCTTACACAAATAATAGTACAAATTCATTTTTGCACTAAGTTGATTGCCCATTTTTTTTCCTCCTTATTGAAAATCATATTTTTTGTAATTAGGCCACTCTACCTGTATCAGACTCTTCTGACGTTAATCAATATTTAAACGATCAAAATGCTTGCGGTTAAGAACCCGCTGTAACAAGAAAAAATATGTAGGGCGCTTAACGTACGGGAAGACTGTAAAAATAAAATTGGTGATAAAAAGAGTGGCGGCGAGTTTTTTGCCAGTTCCTCTCGTTCGTTCTACGCCCTTGATTCGAGAACTGCTAGTAATTGTAAATTTAGAGATTAGTTTTTAACTGATGTTTCGTTCATAAGTTCTTAATCTCTCCTTTTCTTTTTGGTCTTTTAGGTTCCAAGTTCGTCCGCCGACGTTCTATCAACGTTGTCGTGACCAACAGTGGTATATTAACCAGTTGATCTCAATGCAGAACCAGTACATTCTACAAATCAATGATCTCAAAGAGGTACGTTTATTTCATTAATGAGACTCTGTATCTCCAGAATATATATAACTGCCTAGTACACTCAAGTATATATTACGAGATTTGAATCCTGGATAGGGCACATGTGTTACTTCTGGATTTGGATCTATTCCGCAAACATTTCGAAGGAGTGGGGAGTGGGGGAATATCCAAAGCCAATACACGGTCGACAGCGCATCTTGTGTAGATGTTATATGGCTGGGTTATTTTCATCTCCCATCAAGTGAACGCTCTCCCACACGTATGTCTATCCTCCTCTTTCATTAAAAAAATCTTCTATCGTTCGTTTCACCACTATCTTAGGTAGTTCTATAATCCTCCTCTGTAGTACTTGAACAAAGCCCCTCTACTATGCAAGAGATGTCTCTGTTATAAGAGAACTTTGTAACTCTAACGATTATATTAAGTTTTCGTTTAGTATTAAATTTGCTGTTCTCTTCTAGCGTCTCAGTTTAGAGATGTCTCGTAACTCAATGTCAGCGACGCGGGCCACATCGAACGGTTCCGTAGCGTCGCAGGGAAATGCAGGCAATAACGACGCAGAGGGCACTCAAAACAACCCAGTGGACGGAAGCAGTACCAGTGAACCGGCAGTCTTCTCCAACCAGTGGAAATTCACTCCAGCGCACGGTATCATGAGTGGACAGCGTTTAATGAGTCCCGGTTGGTGCATTTTTGTACAAGATGATACAACATAACGTTGATAATTTTCTAAATAATACACTTTAACGGTTTAAAACGCGATATATATTATTTAAAGTTATTTGATCATTGAAATCATTTTAACTACGAGCCGACGTTTGTGGTGCTTTGCAGCAGCCGTGGTCACGGGGAGACTAAAGATGGAGGATTTCTCTGACGTGAAAGTAAAAAACTACAAATAGCACACCGGCAAACGCGAAGACACCGTTAGTCAATTCTGCAAGGACCCGGCCAGTTTCGCCAAATACTAACTTCGACAGAACAGATGGCGCTAGCATAGTAGATTAAGTTTAACTAATATATATCGCGTTTTAAACCGTTAGTGTTTTATTTAAATGTGTACTACTCGCGTAAACTACACAGTATGATGGTAAATTTAATAATGGCTTAATATTTTTAGGTATCTTGAATAACTCACTTTTCGAAGAGACTTGCGCGAGCGGCGTTTGTCGTAACAGCATGACCACCGCGGATGCGTGTTTTGGCGATTACACTCATCTCAATCGCAGGATGAATCAGCACGCTTTGGACGCCTACAACCTTCCATCCACCTCGAGGTACTCACTACCACTAAATTTAAGTTAGAAATAGATTTACTCTACGTTTATTAAAATAACTTAAAATAAAAAATTGTAGTACGAAAAAGGTATACTAGAAAAAAAACACGACTGCACTGATTAAGGGTGTAATACTAAAAGTCTCTGTAACTTAAATTTTATTTAGCCATAGCTAGGTTACACACATTTTTCCATTCCTTTCAATCTTTACATTTATTCCTATATTATACAGCCTCAAATTCAAAATGTGTCATAATATACTGCTTCAAGGTCAACCAGCTCCGTGCGGTCGTGTGCTGAAGGACCGTCCGTAGCGGCGTTGCATTGCGCGCTAAATCAGCCGTCGAACGCACAGCGCTTGCGCAGGGAGCGTCCGGAGCGAGCCGACCGACCAGATCGTCTACCTCCGCCGGATAAAGACACACACCTTACTGGTATTTAAGCAATTAAGTAGTCTACCTGGGTTTATTGGCAGTAGAGTATGGATGGCAAACTGTAAAAAGACTTCAAACCAAATACAATAAAACTAGCAACGCTTTTATAATAGAATAGTTTTAGAAATTGCTAATAAAAAAGGATTCTAAGGAGTTTTAATTTAAATTAAAACGAATTAGTGATAATATTAAGCTTTATTAGGCACAATTCAAACTATATAAATGTACACAAATAAATAAAAATATCATTGGCATATTAATAATCAAAGTCTGGTGGGCAATTGTTGTTTATCTTCGAAAATGCCGACTAGTCTATTAATATTGATATTATTCCAGCTGTTGCCAGTACACCAATAACGGAGGCTTCAGGTGGCTGTGCCGGAGCCCTGTGCACTTCGATATCGTCCCCGGAATTACACAGTGCAGCAAAACCTACACCATCTGCAGCTTTAGCGCTCACTACTTCGGCGCATAATGCGCACGCGCATTCCGAATCTAGCAGCGATACCGGGGTCAGTATTTATTTATTTTATACAATAGTTGGTTGAGAAGATATTATTATTTTTTCTTAATATTCAAGAAACGTAGGTAGTAGTTATATACATTTAACAGTCAGCGTAATGAAGATACCTAAAATCTCTTTCAATATACAGAAATATATTTTTAAAAAAAAACACTTTACGATTAAAAATGTAAAATGTACTAGTTTACAATAATTTATTTTAACGAAACGAGAGAAAACCGTGTATTAATGTATAAGCAATTTTTAGAAGCGTACATATTGTGTTGTTTTATGTCTTCTGTGTCATTCGTGTCTCAGAACCGACCTTATTTTAGGATATAATGTTCACCGAGTTGGAAGGTTTTGTAGACGAAGGCAACGCGCATCAAATCGAGGAAAACTCCAACGAAGAGAACGATGTGGACGAAGAGACGATGTCAGGTATCTCTTACGTAAAGAGTTATTTGCCCCGTAATGCGATAGCGACGCGGTTATTAATAAGATTATAAGACTCGGTACAGTAATGTCATTTAGAATACCGTCATTTAGAAGAATGGGGGTAGTTTGAGATTTTATGTAGTTAACCGTGTCGCGTTCGCGGGTGCGGTCTGTCGTAAATTTCCACAGCCTTTCTAATCCATGTTATCCTATTTCCTATCCAATGTCCTATTTCACGCAGAAGGCTCGTCGGCGAGTGGCTATGCCTGGTGTGCTCTGGCTGACTCGCCCCAGACGTCCCCTACGCCCGGATCGGCCCGCTCGGCCGCGTCGGGCGAATCTCCCCCCTCCCTCTGCTCAGAAGAACCCCCCCGTCGACGCAGAAGATCTTACTGCAGATCGCACGCAACACGCGACACGCCTTACATGCGGAATTAGTCTATGTCATGGGGCTACACACCTCTTAAGATCCTCTTAAAGCTAATCTATACACAGAGGAGCTACACAACTTCTAGAAGAAACATGTCTCGCGCCATACATTATTATAGACACATTTATATACTGTTTATAGTTTACGCGAGTCACACATTCAAATAAAACACTAATAGTTTAAAACGCGTTATATTAGTCAAACTTATTTGAAAATGATTTAATTTCGGCCCGACGGATGGCTTTGCAGCAGTCTTCCCGTGAGGCTGCTGCAAAGCCTCCGAAACGTCGGGCCGAAGATAAAAATCGTTTTCAAATAAGTTTAACTAATATATCGCGTTTTAAACTGTTAGTGTTTCATTTAAAACACACATTTATAACAACTACTCGTATACTATTATCATTTTAGTGTTTATATATTGTAGTAGTTTAAAAATATCTTTATCTTGTTTTGCTATGAGAACATCACATTGTTTTTTTTAATTTTATTAATCTTCAGTATTTAACAGTATTAGAAGAATAATACTCGTTTCAGAGGTGTGTATGCTTTCATGTGTTCTTACTATACTTCTGTTATTTTCGATTCGAATAATTCAAGTTAAGTTATTTTTTAATATTATTTTCCACCTTAATAGTCTAGAACATTATCTGTATATTCGTACGTAATAATAATTCTTGACGTACGTACGTAATTAAAACCACTTGATTCAAATAATTTAAATTCATTTTTTTTCTATAAATTACTTAGAAGTCTAGATTTGTTTTATTAATTACCAAATTAGAACTACTACAGACACTTCCAAGAAAGAGAAAAATTGTAATGCACGTTGTTGTACTGAGAAATATTTCCAAACAACATCGTCTCTTATGAATACAGTATCAAATTAACGTTAACGTATAAAACTAGAATGGCAACAAAATAAATAAATATCTTCAAAATTGTTTTTTTTTATTTGCTACGTTTCAAATAAGCCTCGTATAACGTGCCTATCGTAACCTATCGTCGTAACGTGGTCCAGCGCTACTACGATGGGTCGATAAATCAATTAATTAATTAAGTAATTAAACCTAACTAAACTAAAAATAGTTTGAATCAAGTCAAAATGTGATTTATTTGGAAAAATTTGCGATTCCTTGTTTGACATGGTCAAAAGTGCTGAAACGCACTTGAATTCATTGCTTACGTTCTTTTTTTTATTAAATGAATAGGGGAAAACGACATCGAAGGTGCGGTGGGGAACAGCAGTAACAGCAACGAGGCGGATATACTAAGCCGATTGTTGTGCGCGGTCCATGGCCGCGGTGTGACGCCGGCCGGGAGCGACGGCAGTACGCCCGCGCAGTGCGTGCAAAGTGCTCGGAGTGACGATCCGCAGCTCTCGACTGCTGCACACACGGATATGCTTCTATTGAATCTCATGAAAATTAATGGGCTCACTCCAAAGTCTGCGAGAACTAGACACGGTTAGTGTACGAGCAGACTAGATTCTAAGATATTCAAGGAATTATTTAAAAATTTAAATAATTCTTTATGTTATCTATATATTCTTTATATATTGCATCAAATATTTTACAATGCCTTGTACAACTTGACAATTTATTAATGCAATAATAATAATTTTTCCGATGAACATTAGACCACCCTAATAGATACAGTTACAGCCACGTTTAAGCTATATTTATTGAAAACATTACAATATTTCGGACTTTTAATAAAAATTATTGTTTAGTCATTCCATTTACTTATATAAAAAAATCTTAGTTAAGTTAAAAAAATATTTATAATGGTTTTAAAAGTAAAACAAATCATTCTTGCCTGTAATAGTACATTAGTTGCAGGTCCAAAACGAAACTGGTCATCTCGCACCCAATCAGTTGAGGAAGTAGGGGAGCGCGGGCGCAGTGGGATTGGCGCACCTGCGCGCACGCGGGTCACAGCCCGAGCTCGTCAAAACCACGTTGTGTCCCCCATCGCACCCCTTTCGCCTCTCTCGCCTGGGCAGTTGCCATCTGAGCACGGATCAGGTACGTTATGGAATTTTACCTATTATATAATACCTCGACAAGGAGCGGTGACAAACTATTTTGCATTTTGATATTCGGAAATCCACAGACTGAAACGGAAACGAGACGAAACTTACCCCATTTTCATCTGCGGGCTGTAGTTTGTGTCCCCGGACGAAATTTCGATATATTTTCCACTCATTTAAAATTCCCATTTCCATATAAGTTTCAGAAAAATTATATTGAGTAGTATGTTGTATCAGGAGGGGATCGAATCGACGACCTGTTGATAGTCAGAATATTGCGTCGTACACTGCTACCATTGAACTTACGAGCTCCTCAATTTTATTAGACAGTAGATGCATAATTAGCCCATTTCACTTTCATTTATTAGCTTCCGTGCCTAAACAGTTTTATTCCTCGATATTTAGTGCTATTTATTTATATTAGTATATTTTATTCAACTGTTTTCCTTTCAAGTATCGAGTCGTCTGCCAGCGGCGGCTGTGAGTCCGCCGAGCAGTCCCCGCGGCCGCTCGCTGCCCCACGACTACAGCTGGCCCACCGGGGACCTCAGCGACAACGATGACGTGGATGCCATGCTGGGATACAATGTGAGGAAATTAACCGATTACATGTCTCCTTTTGATCTAATCAAACTGTTCAAATCTGTAGTTACGCAAGTAGTACACATTTAAATAATGCCTAACGTTTTCAAACTTAACGGTCAGCCGTGCAAAACTCAGCTCGTAGTTAAAATAAAATAGTTATTTAATACATTTCGCGTTTTAAACAGTTAAAAGTGTTTTGTGTTAATCTGTATACACTATACGTAAAAATCACAGTTTTATCAAGTGAGTTGTCTTAGAACTAAAAATCTGACTAATATTTTGTTTTCAGGATACTCTATTCGACATGCTGCTGAACAGCCTATCACTGGAAGGTTCCGGATCGGGCGAGGAGGCCCCCCCGGTTCAGCCGTGGAGCCCGGCGCGGGATCCACCGCATCATTCTCCACACGACTGACACATAGCTCCCGAGTACAGACACTAGGCGTTTTACACTGATTTTGGTAGAAATTTACCCCGTTCGGGTCAACTAGGGGAGTCGGGCTGATGAGAAGAATGGAACAAGTGAATTCTCCAGTTAACTCACACGGGCTGTACTGTTGATACAAAAAGTCAACCACCAACACCACTAGTTTAATTTAATGTCATCTAAACAGTGAACGCCTATTTATGATATTAATGACTAAAACTTGTAACTAAGTTTGCCTAGTTAGGAAAAATCATGCTTTAGGTTACAGCTTAAGGCTTCCATTTGATCCTGCAGCTTAAACGTACCTGAAATCTCCAGTCCAGTTTAATGTCCAGATTTTATATTTACCTGGATTTTCCAAGGTCACCAGCTGCAGTGACTTTACCGGACCAGTGTATATCGATTTATAGGTTTTAGAGGCGTAAAAATATAAGGCTAATGAAAATGAATAAAAAAATCTTGAAATCAATAAAAAATGCAAAATAAAAAATATAACCAGCTTTTTCTGTCGTGATTGAATGTTAATTAAAGCTAATACATTATTCAGATTAATGTCAGACATGTAATATATTATAGACTGTGATTTAATCTCCCGGAGGAATGTAAAATACTCAATTAGGAATACCTTTTGGAGGGGGCTCCAAAAGGAGGGGCTGTCTTATTTTTTTGAATGGTGTGCCTCGGAATCCATACAATGTGTTACAAAATCTACAAAAAAAATGTATGTGGTTTTCGGATTGAACCCCAAAGACTTGTGTTCAACAAAAACTAGATCCATATTGTATTAATAACTGCCAAAAATGACAGTCGAATAAAAAAAAGATTTAAAATATGTAGTACAAATGAAATATAAACGATATGCTTGAGGCTTTATAATCTTTGTGCGATGTACCAAATAACACTTATTGTAAAAAATAATGAATATGATCTAAACTCACACATACCATCACCTTTTCAATTGGTTATTTACTGAAATAATTACGTTTGAAACGGGAAATGGTTTATCGATGTGTGTAGTGCATTAATTGTAAGTAGTTAATAAATTTGATTGTTCACTATTTGCACTAAAATACAGACATTATGATTTGCTTTTATTTAATAAATACATGCAATATTGTAAATTGAATAAAACTACTCCAACGAGTTGAAACGCCAATAAGATTTGAATAAAATACTTAACAATTTATAAGGCGCGATGTATTAACTTATTTACAAATAATTTTAGCTACAGCCCGAAAAGTTTATATAGTTAAAATAAATTGTTAATAAGTTTTAATACTTTTCGCGTTTTAAGCGGTTTAAAAGTGTTTTATTTAAATGTAAACTACCCGCGTAAACTACTAAGACAATACGCGGGTTAGTGGGTCCTAAGTACTTCTTGCGTTTCAATGTTAGTGGTAGTTTAGTTTTTTTTTCTACTCGCGTGTAATAAGATTTTATATTGACACTTCATTGTACTGTTGTGCGCTATTATAGATGAATACCGCTTAATCGTCGTAGAATATAAGAAGGTAGACATGTTAGGAATAGAAGCTCACGTTGATTCTATAGACCCAGTGATATTATTACTATTGAAATTGATAGTAGTACAATAATGAGTATGTTTAAGAGAACTGAGAATTCTCTTAAAATAAATAATTATTTAATTAAATTTATTTTCAACTCAAGATTGTGTTTATTTAACACTACCAGCGATACTTGTAAGAGATTTTGCATAAAATAAAACTTGGGAAAGAAATGATACAAAACGATAAAGTTGTCTCAGTTATTTATTTTCATTTTTCAAAATATACATAATGAAAATTACTGTAATTGTTTAAATTACTCTCAAACGTCTAGAACATGTTTTATTGAATTTCATAGCGGAATACACGAAGATCAAACTGGACTTGTATACAAATGTAAACGGTCCTACGGCGTTGTCTTTTCTGCGCTAGCCGACAGAGGGCGCCGCCGCGTCTACAGCAACAGCACAGCAAAATTACTTTAAATGATATATTTACAAAATAAAACTTTAAAAGGAACGCTTTGCAAACATTCAACAAACTTGAGATCGTCTTAACGTAAAGATGGTAATAGAATTTTTAAAGTTAATCAAATTACATAATTCCATACGCGTAATATTTACATACACTTAACACTTTAAAATGAAAATTGTGCCAAATCGCGTTTCACATCTTTCGCAAATAAATAACAATTGAATTTAGCCTAAAATACTTTTCTTTGATTAACAAAACAATAAAAAATAATTGCATTCAACAAAGCTACGATAACAAATTTAATATAAATTAATATTAAAAAAATGTACAATTTATACAAAGTTAGACGTTATTTCATTATCACGGAAAAGTAAAGATAAAAGTGTTAGCTTCGAGTCACCGGCTGGTGCTCGATTGGGCTTTCAATAAGATTTTATTTTCGGCCATTATTTACATATAAGAGGATGGTATGTACATTTCATTAGTGTAATTAAACATCTAAAACTTGACAATTCGTCAAAAAGATTGAACTAAAACGCTGAACGAAACACTAAGGTAACTTCAACTCGCAAAGAACTACATTTCTTGTGAATAAAAATACTGTTTCCTTCACACTGGTGGAAGTTATATTTTTATTCACCAGATACTAATATTGATAATACAATTGTGCACATACATATATTTCGAATCGCTATATCTATCGCGAAGGCAAGTGGTGATGTATGCTTTCTTAATGCTATTGTAGCAATTTCATTATCTAGAATACTAAATAGTCGACTTAAAACTACCATGGTGTTATGTTTGTGGTCATATTTTGAATACCTCCTGGTACAATTCTTATCACGAAAAAGCCGCTAGTTTAGATAATATTAGGTACGTACTTATAGTTAGCACTAATTATTGTATCATGCTTTTGCTCTCCAAGTATCCACAATACTCCGTTGAAATAGGACACCCTATAGGAGTTACATTTTGTAAGTGTGGAAACGAAACGCTACATACAGAGTGTTTCAAAAATAGTAGAACCTTATTTGCTCTCTTGCATTCCCATCATCATATCGCGCGTCTACACTCGTGCCTGGATCCACAGCGGTTCACCGTTCTTTGGCGTTATTAAGTGAGCTCAATTCATTACAATCTATTCCCTCGATTATATTAAATATTGCACTATGTGTAATTTCATTGTCTCGATGACCTCATTTATAATTTTTATCCTAAAATTTTGCGTGTTAATGAAGGCTGAGTATTATTTGTATAATGATAAAAATATCTATTCGTGATCTATACTATTCAGTCAATTGAAACAAATCAAAATTATAGCCTCTCTCTAGAACATTCAAAGTGGTATATCGATCGTGTATCTTGCCAGTTTTTTCAGGTATGTATTGAAGCCGATATCACATTCGTTCTTTTAGTGTAAAAATCAAACCAGCACCAAGTAAACGGGCACCTTTAGAGTCAATACATAAAAATTGTTGCACCTTTCACGTAGTTATCTGCACCTTTGTAGATTAAAAAACTGAAGACTAAAACAATCGTAGCCGATTGTGGCTAACGATGTCGTTTGGGCGTTTATAACGTATATGTTCATATAACGGCACCAGTTAAGTGTCACAAATCAAAGAATAAGCCGAGAGCGATCGTCAGACGTGCGACTCTAATGGCGGTCGAGGAGGAGGAACGAGGGGCGTGGGCCACACCCCCCCAGAGGCCGTCAGGTCCGGCGAAGAAGTACGCGTGTGACGCGCGGACCAGCCGTCCTTATCGAAGTCTTTCGTGCCCCCGACCGTGTGCCTCCTCTTGATACCCCGCTCCGGCATTCCGTTCTTTCGCTTGAGCTTCGTGGATCGCCAAGCGCCTGTTTCGCGGCGTCTGACAATATTCCATTCTCCCTTCTCGAGTTTACTCAAACGCTCTCCTTTGTTGAGGGATTCCGAGCGCTGCAAGCGTTCAACTCGGCAATTGAGGCTCTCGGAGCGAAGGACTCTCGCTTCGCTTTTTTCCTCCCTATTCAGTGATTCGGAACGCTTTAGTTTCGCGCAATCGACGTCTTCCTTATCATTTTCGGCGTTGGACTCATCGCCGAGCGCGGCGCTGTTTCGTTTCACGCACTCCGGGTTCGAAAGGCGCAGCGTGTAATTAGGATAGAGCGGCCTCTTGTCGTTGTCGGGAAGCGTGCCCCCGCTTGAGTTTTGGGACCTCGTGTCGACGTCCTTTTCGTCGTTTCCCACTTCTTCATGACTAGCTTTCTTCGGAATGATACAGTTCTCCTTCTCAGAATCGTCGCCGTCGTCTCGCGCGATGCGGTGTCTGGGCCAGCGCGCGTCGGGTTCGTCTGCGCTGCTCGAGGAAGAGTGTCGGTGGTCCCTCGCCAGCCACGCCGCCTTCAATTCGTGAGCGCGGATAGCTGGAGAAATACGCTCTTCGCGCTCACTGTGCAGACTGGTCTCGGAAGGCGTGCTCTCGGTGGATTTCCCTTCGTCGTTATCGTCTTGACACTCGTCCGCGTAGGGGATGCTGCCGTCGTCGAGAGGAGACGAGTTGTTGAGTGTACGCAGTTTCTGGTCGAAGGTGCTCGTGAGAGAAGACACTAAATCTCCTGTTCCTATAACAAAATCTAGAATCAGTCGCCATTCAAGTGGAGTTGCTGGTTAATCATGAATACGTAAGCGTTAGACTCTTCGAGTAGACTGGTGACGAACGATGAATGGATGACTAGATTATTGTGATGATGGCTTCAGATTTGCACGAGAAGCCGTGCTGTGAGCAGTCGCCGCTTTAAGCGTTAGTTAGTTATGATCATTGATTGACACTGTTTGTTCACACTCACTCGACAAAAAATTGGCGTGAAGGTAATTACCGTTTTATAAATGTGTTTAGAAATGGCTTGGGACTTCTTTTTTTACCACACGATAATTTACTAACGACGTTTCGGTTGAAGTGTTGCCAAAATACACTATAACAGCTATGTAATGTAGTCTTGTGAGCGAAGAGTGAGTGTTAACAATTATTTTCGCATCAATTTCGTCCGCAACAACGCACACACTTGCAAACGCACGCTCACATTCCTATACCTTTGAATGTGGACAAAAGAAAGAGATTGCCGTGTCTACTCTCTGACGTCAGAACTGGAAACCTAATGGGCAAATAGTGGACACTTACATTATTCAAGTCATGGCTTGCAAATGGAAACTGTGAGACATAAGATCTAGCAGTTATTAGTCAGGATTTTCCCAAAAATGTGTCATTTACAGAAACCACATGGGAAAGCCATAAAAAGAAGAAAGTCTAATTGATCGTGTATTTAACAAATTTTGTTATACATTTAGTTTTAATAAGTGTTAGACTGGTAATATTACCGTCAATGGAGAAGCTGTTGAGCGTATGCGCATGCCGCGATATATCCGGCCGACCTCGTGTTACGTTGCCCATAGACTCCATTTCGATTCTGAAATGCAGAAATGCTCATATTACAAAGATATTTTTTTAAATCATACCACAAATGAGTATGTATATACCGATTCAAACGCTAAATGGCGCTGACTTCTACCAAACCTCACCATAATTTTTTGTTTAAAGTATATAAGCTTACAGCATTAGGTTGATAAAAATTCTGTTAGAGTTTGCTTTTGAGTTTTGCTATTTAAAATACAGTGATTCACTGAGTGAATTGTTAATTCATTTACACAAAGGTTAGTTAATATATAGTTGTTCTTTTTTAGCAAATCAAACTTATTTGTTTTAACAAAATTAGCTTAATTATTTTAATGATGAAAATTGAACACAGAACAATTGAAACAGATGTTGAATATTATTATTATTATTCTTAAGACTTTGCTTACTTGGTATGAGAATCATGCGTGTCCGTGTAGTGGTGTGGCAGGCCATCGTAGCGCGCGAGGGGCGTGGTGATGTGAGCAGGCGGCGAAGTGAGCGGGGAGTGCGGAGGGGAGGCGCCAGGGGATGTCTCTGTGCGCTTTTCCGACTCCGACCATTTCTTGTCGCTCTTCCGTGGTTTTCGCTGAATCTTGCGGTTCGCTGCTGATATTATCGACGATACAATGTCACGCGTAGTCACGTCTTTGCCTGGAAGAAGTATTTCTTCACCATCATTTACACTATTTCTTTTAAATACACTTCACAATATATATAAAGTGCACACTTTTAATACAAGATTTCAATCGTCATATATTTGGTAAGTACATATATACTGAAAATTGTCGGAAAAAGAAAAAAATTGTAAATACCTTCAATCTTTTTGACGTTATGTATAAGAAGGTCGCGGGAGGGCGCGGGCGCTGGAGAGAGAGGGTCTGCGGCTGGTGGCGGCTCTGCAGGTGGGCTGCCTTCGTCCTCTTCAAAGTACCATGTGTACTGTAATCACATAATAATGCTTGAAATATCCGGCTCGAAGGACCATAATGATGAGCGAAATCGTTAATATCTTTTTTAATTTTGTTTAATACCTTCCAATGTATTTAAAAATCGGTAAATATAATTCGTATAGAAGATTGTAGAAGTACTCACATGAGTTAGAAAAGACTCAATTATACGACACTGGCTGGACATATCGTTGACCATGGCGAGCATGTCGTCGCTTGCTGCCCGAACAAGCGTCGGTCCGAAGACAATAGCTAAGTTGCGCGCTTCCATCTTGTTGTGCTGCGCGTGAGCGGCTACTCGGCGCAAGTGCTGTATTAGATACTTGAGCGTCTCGTAATGTGCATCTGGCAGAGCTCTTACTAAGCGTCGAAGCTCGTGAGCGCGTTCTGGGGAACGGTCTGCCGCTGGAATCACATAATTGCGATATTAATATACGCAACTAACAAACGTCTTTCTAATATCTACGATAAAGTAGATTAAAATAGAATATAAACCTAGAAATAAAACCTTTTTTAAGTTATCTTTGTAAACTAAGATTTAAATTAAATTAAAAACCACTGCGTTTACTTGTTTAAACCTTGGTACATATCTAGCACTTAAAAGTTTTTTAAGAAGAAAATTTCTTTTTAGTAAATATTATTGTATCTCATCGTGCCACGCACGACTGTTCAGCCGTAGTGACGATAAGTTAAAATCGCGTTTTAAACCGAAATAGTTTCTTTAAGAATTATTAATTTCTTAAAGGCATAGTTTTGACTAACAACAAACCTATGAAAGCAGGATACATTTCAGCAGTGAGGAGTGGATCGGGTAGCCGACGAAGGTACGCTTTCAATAAGCTAGAAGCAACATGAACGTCTGCCCATCTTGGGTCGCCTTCCGGAGGGGGTTCCCCTCGGTCGAGAGCCGCCGCAAGAGCAGCCACGCCAGCCGCGTTACCAGGTACCCTGTATATACCCACTGTTCGCAGGCCATAAGCCTGAAGAAGAAAAAGAGTTAAAATTTTAAAGAAGTTAAAATAATAACAGAAATAAAACATTTTAACTGTTTAAAACGCGACATAAATAAATTAAACTTATTTGACTTGATTTGAGTGACGTAGTGAAAATATTTTTTTAATACGTTTAGCTAATATATTCCGCGTTTAAAGCGTTAAAGTGTTTTATTTAACTCGCGTAAAATTGTTAATTTTCAATACTGTCTGTAACAGTATTGAAAACTAACAATCTCAGAATCCAACATAAAATATTTGAAGATTTGAAAAGTATTTTTATTATCCTAAACTATGGATAGACTTACCTCAACAGCATCAGCTGGTAATGTGACTGCTCTAGGTACAAGTGGATGATTAGGATCTGCAGGGCATCGCTCCAGAGGAGCTCCCAACCAGCCGGTGACAGCTGGAGGCGCTGGGGCACCTGTTGCCCCCGCGTGCATTCTTCGCAGCTGCTTTGCCATACGACCTTTCCATGTCTTATTCTTCGGGGAAGAGGGTAGCGTAGGAGTTGGAGGTCCTATCATTGACACTGTAACAAGGTTGCTCGTTTTATGAATTTTTATTTCAGACATTTGCAGGTCCACTGTGTTAGTATGTTACTTTTTTATCCCAGAAGAACTGCTTCGTGCTTGCCTCGTGCTTGACTGTACAGTCAAGCACGAGGTTCACTTGATGGGAGAAGAAATACCCTAGTCATATAACATCTACACGAGATACGCTGTGGACCTGTTTTGGCTTTGGATATTTATATCTTAATGATTTTGACAGTCAATGTTGGCTTTAAGCGTACTTACCGGTGGGCGATCTGTTCCGTCCAATCTTTTTGTTTCTCTGTGGCGGTAGCGGCGATGAGCTATCTGTGCTGGTTGGTGGAACGGTATTCGAGGGGGGAGCAGAAGCGGGGGCCGCGGGCAAAGAAGCCGTCTCCGGAGGTGGGGGCTCCGCTGAATGTCTGCGAAGCGCCGCCAACCATCGTTGAGCGTCGGCTGCGCCTTCAGCCTGGAAGAATTGAGGAAACACATGAAGATCAATATTAACGAGCTACTGTAATACGTCTTTAAGAGTTGAAATATTTTATTTAGTTTATTAATCCTACAAGTACTATTTGTTGAACCTCGGATTTTAATGGGAATTTAATAAATATTTTGCCGCGAAATTCAACTTATCCATTCTTACCTGCAGTAGAAGCTCTGCTCCAGCCGCCGTTGTGACTCTAACCACGTGTTTCCTCTTCGTGTAGTCGTCAGCCAGGGCCGCCAAAGAGTAGCGTACGTCGAGGGCGTCTCGCGAGCTCTCAGAGTTCGAACCCGTGCCGGTCACCGCACCGGGGCTCTAAAACAAGTGAAAATTATCATTAGGATTAATTGATTTTAAATTGATATGACACAGGCAGGACTTGAACGGTGTCCGTGCCGTTGCTCTAACCAATTAAGCTACCATATCGTACATTCTTTTAAACCTATTGATGCATACACCTCTCGCGCAATAAATTATTACGAATAGCCCAACCCTCCTCGATAAATAGTCCCACTAACACAAAATAATTTCTCAATCCGAACCTGTAGTTCCTGAGATTAGGGCGTTCAAATAAACAAACAAACACTAATATCTATATATTATCTACTGATATTATAAAAAAAGTTAATGTTGTTGACACCAGAATAAATCGAAGAAATACTAACAGATGACGTATATGATAACTTAATTTAAAATACATGACCTGAACCCTAACGCAAAGCTAGGCAATATGGATTAACCACTACACCATTGCGGTCAAAGGCACGTCTTAAGAGAAATTATAGTGTAGAACGATTCGTTACAGAAGCCCATCTATGCTAAATATCTAAGTTTTATCTCTAGTTATTAATAATGTGCAAACAAGCTTTCTTTGATGTCAGTTTATATTAAAGATCTTAAGTAAACACGAGAAACTGGTATGCGGTAATGCGTAAAGCGGGATCAATCACCCCTCCCCCCGCCCCCCCTTGTTACTGCGCCCGAATTGTTTTTACGCTAACAATGTTCTGAATCGTTGCCAATATCTAGAATTCTTTAACAATGGCATCCATTATGCTGTTTGTAGGTTGCAACTTTCGAAAGCGAAGTGTCGAATTTTAATTTTTACTTTGTCATAATTACTTAGTCCTTCACATTTGGTATTTAACAGCTTTTTCTATACTTTCTTTGAGGATAGGCATCATCTATACTAATATATAAAGCTGAAGAGTTTTTTGTATGTTTGCTTATCTAAGGAACAAGTAGTTGAAATTGAAATATTTTTTTTTTGTGTTGGTAGAGCATTCGTCGAGAAGGCTATATAAGATTGCGACTTATAGGAGCACAGAAACAGCGGAAAATGTGGAAAAACGGAGAAAATCATTAAACTTTGTGGGTAATAAGATTTGATCTAAAAAAATTCCACGACATACATATATCAACCTTTTAAGATTAACTTGCAAGAACAACGGGACGCGACAGGGGTTGTGGGTAACACCTTTAATAAAACAATAATTTTATACGCGGACAAAGTCGCAACCACAGCTTAGATATTTGGTTAGGGCGATTCATATATAATATAAGAAATGTATACTACTAAACAATTTGAGTTATCCCGGTCCCGGCAAATTGAATCTGAGTTAACATGCGTTTTGGTTTCATAAAAATATCTTTGTGTGTCAGTTGGTTGTTAGGTGGCGGACGCACGCGCAATAAATTTCAATTTCGAACGAGAGCACGTTGTTTAAAATCTAGACACCGGTCCTTGCCCTACAATTTTGCAAATTAGTGCACAATTCACCTTTGATTTAAATAAACAAATGAACTATTCGTCTTAATAAAACAGACTTTGAATGAGATAACAATGAGTTCTTATTAAGGTTTAGTAAGATAAACGAGACAAAAGACGGAAAAGCTTTTGCTTGGAATTATCTATATTACGCATTGCATATGAATCGACGGGTCGGGAGTTCGATCCCCACTACGTCCAACAGATTTCTTATCTATACAAAGCTGAAGAGTTAGGATGCCGATCCCCCTGAAATAAGTGAAACTCCGTCTAGGAAACTGCATATTGAATTTGTGGTAGGAATATCGGAGTTCCTTCCAGGCCCCGAACTAATATCAACATATTAATAATCCCGTAGAGGTTAATCGCGTTTCGACTTCAGCCTGTGGATTTTCGAATATGCAAAATGCTCGTTTAGATGTCATACGGCGTATTTCACCTTCCATCGAGTAAACCCTGTGCTTGACTGTACTCGACATAAAAACTCCGAACGCGCTTTCACTATCTAATTATAGTAATAAATGCCTTCACATTGTCCGAAACAAATGGCTGCATCAAACAAATGTTTGACAGTTATCGTGATGGCGTGAGTTACCGAGGAAAGTCTCGATGTGCTTAATTTGAGAAAGCGTCTTTATTCCGAGATTGTATGCAGTCAATTGAACCAAACCTATTTTTGGAAAGCTTACTAATTAACCTATTTTTTAAACAGAACTCTTTAACGGTTTAAAACGCAACACATATTAGTTAAACTTATTTAGAGATTATTTTAACTACGGCCCGAAGTGTCGGATGCTTTGCAGCAGCCCTGGTCACGGGGAGGCGTCCGAAAGGTCGAGTTGTCGTTAAAATGAGATTAACTAAAATGTGTCGCGTTTTCAACCGTTAAAGGGTCTTATATAAATGTGTACTACTCGCGTAAACTACAGACTATATTTAATAACCTAATTTTCATAATAAAGTAACAGTTGTAGAGCTACAAAACTTAATACACAATTACTTCATGTTATTTGGTTTAGTAGCTGATGTGTAAAGTTTGATAATAATTTCCAACATATATTCGTTCGAAAAGCTCGTTGTGAAAATATTAGTGTTGGCTAAAATCACGAAATGTTTTAAACAATTAAGAACTACGTAATTCCCTGTTCCTAGTATTTATGTCTTCCGGGTAACGAAGACGCGTTCGTATTTAGGTTACATACATAACAGATTGCGAACTAAAATAAGCTTAAACAAGGGAACCCGAGTACTGTGAGTAATTTTGCCTTTTCAAAATCGTTCACAATTTAATTGATTTTAAGAAATGCATTTAGACAATAGATTGGCCTTTGTTGAAATTCCATTTTTCCCTTAATTCCGTATAGGGTAATAAGCATAAAAATTGTATGTTTGCCTGGCAATCGAATCTAAACTGCTTAATGTAAACATTACGAAGCTTTTTGTAAATATTTATTTTTACATATTCATAATCCATCTTCTACAGACAAAAAGCTATATAAAAATTTTAAACATTTGATTTAATATTTTAACAACAAATATAAAATCAAGTTTCCCCCTACCTGATGTGATACATATCAAGTCTTCTCTTTCTATCGAGAGTCGAATCCAGGACCTTTAGCACTAACAATACTATTAAGCCACAAAGGCCGTTTATTGATGTTAAAATATTAATATTATATAATAATTTAATGACACACCATAGTTATTAAAAATTAAGTTACATTTATTTTTGCATGACAAATGCCTTATTCTCTTTCCTTTATAAAATGTCTTTGAGCAGTTACACAATTTTTCGTGATCCGATGTAATCTTCGATCGATTTCGATAACCTGACGATTGAGCAGTCAAACTTTCAACCGTGTTCCTCGACTGGCGATAGTAAGCGATTGTTTGACACACTTTTCGCTCAAAAAATAGTTTCGCTCTTGACCCGCGGATGCAACTAGCGGGTCAGCGGCGTGGTCGAAAACATGATGTAATTCCTACAAGAAAGGTGCGAAGCGACTATTGGTAGATGCGGTGGACTCGATTTGTTCAATCAACTCGTTGTGTAAAATACGTAATGCTTTGTGTTCAATAGGTTATTTAATATTTGGCTAATTCAGTCGGTAATATTGTACATTATGCAAAACTACTGTGAAAAAACTGGTTAAAATGCGATTTATTAAGAAGGTTCTGAAAGGTTTCATTACTTCAAATGTTATTTCAACAAACTAACCTTATATGTAAGTTTTGTGTTTTTTTTAGCGGTTTTTAGGTTAATCGTGACTAACTGAGCCATTATTTAAAAGCGCATGTTAATTTCTAAAGTTCATCAGCTATTTCGTGACTAAATTATAAATTCGTGATTGCAATATTGTCTTAAAGAAATATTTATATAAACCGATACAGGTTTTGTTTAATTCTACAAAAATAATAAGAAAGCCGCAGGCGCCTTTAATGCTTTCTCAATAATTACAACGTGGAAAGTAGATAAAGCTTGAAAGTTAAATTAACCTAATACATATATTTAGTTTGTAGGTAATCGCCGGTCAACAAGAAATAACACGTAGTGGGTCAATTTTCTTATAGTAACTAATAATTAGTATCGGAAATAGGCCAGCGCAAGCGCAACATCTATCATCATTTATCGTAGCAATGACGTATTTAGATAAAACTAAGATTCTGTCGTTATTCCGACTTAAGTCAATTATAAATTAAAACGCCATCCTGTTTTTTTTTTCAACTCTTGAAATAGATCCTTTTTTGAAGTTTTTTATCGAGTGACATTAATTCACTTCATGAGTAAAACTGCATACTGTCATGCATTGATTTCTATCAATACTTTACCTTCTATCTTAATAATTTATTGATATTTTACATATTTCTCGAAGATTATAGTAAGGCTGAATGTATTTCTAAAGTTGTTAAAACTGTTTTTAAATGTTCCGCAAGTTTCGCGGAACCGTGTTATGTAAATTGCGAAACTTTCGTGTGAAGTAAATAAAAAACTGTTTACTCAGCAGTAAAGACTCAAATAACTCACCAATATATCGGTATACCAGAGAGTCATGGCTTGGCCGGTGTCCATTCGCGTCAGAGCGAAGCGCGACAACTCGTGGTCATTGTCAACGGTTGGCATCCGAACCACAATAAAACAATTGTCCACCACAAAATATATTCACAGTGACACGAAATAATTGAAGATATATCGTTATAAATTAATCGCCAATATTAAACTAATAACGTTTCAGACGTTCATAAATGAAAATTTGAGCCGGTATCGCTAAAGGCGGGCGGCGCGCGCGCAGGCCTACAGGACAGTGGCGTTCGATCTTCGTCAGCGCGGAGAAAGTGCTCCGGCGCAGACTCAGCGGCGTCTGCCAAATCGGCGTTTTCACGGTTCGAAAACGGATTGTCTTTTCCGGACAAATTGTTCATGATCACGGCGCCATGTCTCGTAGTTGTGTTACTTTTCGCCGCGACTTTAGCTACGACTGTCAAAATTACACGCGGAAGCGGTCAGTATAAGAATTATACAGATCGGACACGTTACGCGCGTTACAGC